TAAATTGTAATGACAAAATTAATACAATCTATTATAACATGAAAGGTTAATAAAGAACTTGAAGTTCTTCAAACTATGAAAAGTAATTCTAAATCTAAAAATAGTAAAGATAAAATTAAATTGATCAAGAATGAATTAATAAATAATTTTAATTCAATTTCAAATTAAGAGTATTGAAGATGATGCAAAAAGTGGACATCAATCATATTCCAAAATTTGATGGTTTATATTTTAATATATAGAAAAATAGATTAATACTAGTTTTTAAAGCTAAAAAATTATGGTCCATAGTAAGTGGTGAAGAATGCTTATCAATGGAACCAACAATAGCTAAAGTTGCTATTGGAATCCCAAATTTATTTACCATAGGAGTAGAGAGTATAAGCCCATGAATAGATAAGGATACCTTGTCTTTAACCATAATTCATAATTACCTAAAAAACAACATTGTTTCACATATATAAGCTTGTATATCAGCAAATTCAGCATGGCAAGAACTAATAAAAATATTTGAATCATATGATGTAATAATTAATATGTATTTTAAAGAAAAATTACATATCTTAAAAATGAGAAAAGGTGATAGTATTATTAAACACATACATATCTTTAAAGCACATATGGAACAATTATTGGCAGCAGGATCAGTAGTTCGAAATGATGAAGCAATTTTCACCTTAATGAAAAGTTTGCCTTTAAGTTATAGATCCTTTATTAGCTCCTTGAGAATGCAATCTAGGATCACATTAGCATCTTTAATAATAGATTTGATCCAAGAAGAAATACTCATAAAAAATATGAGTTTAACATCTAATAATAATTCAGCCCTATATAAGCAAGAAATTTCAGAATAACAACAAGAAATCTTATTTCAATAAGAATTTTAGAAGGAGTTCATAAGGAGAGAGTAGTACCTCCAAGTCACATAAAAAGAGTAATTTTGCTATTGACAAGAGGTGCTTTTTTTGTAAAAAAAACTTAATCACTTGATTAAAGATTGTAAAACAAGAATAATAACTCAAAATTGTAATAATAGAAAAGAAACAAATATTGTTACAAAATCAAAATCAAATATATGTTGCAGCACTCATAATTAAAGAAAATTCAAATTCAATATGGTATGTGGACTTGAAAACAACTCAACTCATATATCATGAATTAGCAAGATTTGTCAAATTCATCAAAAATAAAGTCAAACAAGTTATTTACTTAGGAGATGATATTACAATATATATTATACAAGGATATGGTGATGTAAAATTCAAATTCAAAAATAGTGATGAAAATATCATACTTGATGTATTACATATACCAGGACTTGCCAAGAATTTATTCTTTGCCAAACAATTGAATAAGGTAGGACGAGAAATTCACACAAGAGCTAAAACAACTACACTTATCAATAAATTTCATAACACCATTGCAATTTGCAAATTGAACCCTGATATATATGAATTAGGTACAACAATACTTTTAAACACGCCTCAAATTGCAATTCTAGTAATAACATAATTCAATAAAGGTGATTTGTAGCACCTAAGTCTAAGACATATAAATTAACAAAGTCTCATATAAATATTTACAATGGCAAAAAGAATTGACTTCTTTGATGAAAAAAAATTATCTTATGTCAACCTTGCATAAAAGGTAAACAACAAAAAGAAAAGTTTCCTACATAAGGTGCACAAAGAGCTATCCAATTATTAAAACTTGTACATTCTAACAATTGTGGTCTTATGCAAGTAGGCACACATTTAAGATGTACTTACTTCATCACATTTATTGATGATCTAATAAGATATTTCCAAGTTTATTTGATGAAATACAAATCTAAAGCATTTGAAAAATTCACCTTATGCAAAAAATCTGTACAAAAACAAACAAGTTTTAAAATCAAAACCTTAAGTTTTGATTGTCGAGGTGAATATAAATCAAATGAATTTAAATATTTATGTAACAAAGAAGAAATAAAATAAGAATATATTATAGCTTATATACCACAAAAAAATGGTATTTTTGAAAGAAAAAATAGAACATTAATAGGAGTAGTTCTTGCAATACTATCTTATTCAAACTTATCTAAAATATTTTGGAGTAAATCACTCCAAACCACCAATTACCTCCAAAATAGAAGCTCTACCAAATCTATAGAAGGTACCAAAATACCATTTGAATTATGATACAAATGCCAACCAAATTTATCTTACTTTAGAATATTTGATTGCAAAGCTAATGTATTCATTCCTAAAGAAATAAGAAAGAAGTTAATAATAACCTATGTATTTGATCAACATCCACTATATAGTACTTCTCAAAATATAGAAGAACAGCCTTTTTCTTATATTGATGTCATTGACAACTTCTCTCAACTATCATTATCCAATGTTGACGAGATATTACTTCTTGAACATGATAAAGCCCATTCTACATTGTAAGATCCAAATTTTCCTTCTAATTCTTGACCAACAAGAATTATTAAACCAACCACATGGTTGTTAGAGTCTATACAAGAAAAAAAAGAGTATAAACGCCATTTTCATAGATATCACCAAGCCTACCTTATTTCTACTATCATAGAAGCTCCAAACTTCATTCAAGAAGCAGTAGAAAAGGATGATGCTCAAGAATAGAAAAAAACAATCAATGCTGAAATTGCATTCTTAAAAAAGAGCAATATATGGCAAATAGCAAATTTACCACCTAATAGAAAACCAATCTCTTCAAAATGGATTTTTAAAATCAAAACTAAAACTGATGGAAGTACTAACAAGTATAAAGCAAGGCTAGTTCTAAGAGGTTTCATCAAAGTTCAAGGCATTGATTACATGGAAACATTCTTTTTTATAATCAAACTTAATTCCATCAAAGTTCTTCTTGTTTTAGCCACTCAACATAATCTAGAAATACATCAACTAGGTATTAAAACAATATTTTTAAATGGTTTTCTAAAAGAAGATATCCATATGACTATTCTAGAAGGATTACCTCCAACACGAACTAACAAGATATGTGAGCTACATAAATCCCTATATAGTCTTAAACAATCCTCTAAAGCATGGTATTAAAGATTAGACCAATACTTAATTCTTCATAAATATCAACATCTAGAATTAGATACAAACATTTACATCAAAAAAAAAAAAAAAAAAAATGAAAAAAAAAAAATGAAAAGGATTTCATCATAATTACAATCTATGTTGATGATTGTATCATTATCAGCAACAAGATTCCTTTAATTCAGCAAGTAAAAGATATTTTATAACAAAAATTTGATATGGCAAATAAAAGAGAAATCCATTACACTCTAGGCAATGCCATTCTAAGAAACTAAGAAAAATGATGGATAATCCTCCATCAAGCAAAACATTTAACAAATAAACTTCATGAATTTAATATATTAAATTCCAATCTATTAAGTACCTCAATTCAACTAGGAATTCATTTAAGTAATGAAGACCACATTACTTCTTAAGATTATCCCTATTTTCAAGTTGTTGAGAATTTAATGCATGCCATTGTTAATTCAAGTTCAGATTGTACTTATGCTATCAACAATTTAGCACAACCAAGTTCTAGACATATTCAAACTTTGAAAGAACTATGAGATATATAAAAGACACCTTAAATTTTCGAAGCAAATCTCAACACTTACCTCAAAGTGATATTCTACATGGTTATTCTCATGGTGACTGGGTAGGTGACAAGAACATCCATCGTTCCATCTCTGAATTTTACTTCTTATTAGCTACAGGAGTTATCTCTTAGGGCAGCAAGAAATAATAATCTATAGCTTTATCATCTATATAATCAAAATACATGGCTTTAACAAAAGCCACAGCTAAAGCCGTATGGTTAAGAAAGTTATTATATGAACTTGGATTTCATTAACATGCACCAACCACCATATATTCATATAGTCAAAGTACCATTGTTCTTAGTGAAAATCTAAAATAGCACTCTAAAAGCAAACATGTAGACACACAATATCATTTCACCAGAGAAAAGACCCTTGCCAAAGAAATCAAATTGCAATATATGCCAACCACACATACAACACCAAATATATTTACAAAATCTCTTTTCAAATGTCTATCTCAACACGGCATGTATCAAATTCCTCTAATTCTAGGATAAGTTAATTATTCTACCACCATTCAAGCCAAGCCTTGCTGGTCTATTCAAAACAACAAGATATTCTACAACCTTCATACTTTGATACATCATGGAGTACAACCTTCATACTTTGATACATCATGGAGTACAACCTTCATACTTTGATACATCATGGAGTGGAAGACAATCTGGTAGAAAAACTTACTCCAAATCCATGACATTTCAAAATACAAATCTTATTTATCAAACATTAATATATAAGATGTTTCCATCAAACACAGTTTTTGGAATGCAGAATTATTAGGCTCCCATGATGATGGAATGTTCGGAGACACACCATACTCCTTCGGAGCTAGCTGGATGCATAGAAACCAGCGTTCTTTGACGTATGAAGCGATTGCCATAACTAGATATTCCCCACTGGGGTTTAAGTAATGATAAAATTACATTGCACTACAGGCCGGGGAGCTGGTATCAAACCACAGAGTCGGGCCCGCAGGGCGGGTTAACAACATATTAGAAAATTGTGATACTGTGTACGTAGGTTGCTACGTGTATAATATATTGGATGCCTATTCTGTGTCAAACAAGATACCTTGGTGTGTGGTGACTGAAGCTGTTAGCAACTATGTAGGAAATCTGGTTTAGGAGTGATGTACAGACGTGAGCTCTCCGAGCAGCTCGTGTCAGTCGTTTTCCTTGATCGTCGCGTCGTTCGTACTGCTATGTGGGATGTCGCTTCCCAAGTGAGTATTTCTGCTCGTCCAACATCCAGCGTTGATAACCAGATTTTGGGCGGTGTCTGCGTAGATTTCCAAAGCTACAATGGAGCCTTGGAAATTCGGTGCGCGCCGTGCTGCTTCGACTATTTGGGGTAGTTCCTCTTGGGTGTATGGTGTTGTCTACATCCGACGCATCATTTCGCGTTCCGTTGTTTCGATTAACCTTGTAGTGCGTGGAGAGTAGATTGGAGAGGGTGGTCTGATAGCTTTCCTTGGTGCGGTGGCCGCAGTAAGAGCGTCGATTTCTCTTTTGAAATTATCGCGTAGTAACTGTGCCGATCGTGGACTGGATCTGTCAATTGGAATGTTGATAGGGACTTGGGGTCTCCAGATCCCCACTCGGGTGCGAAGAAAGCTAAGTCGAGTTGTTGCAGAGTCCGTCGTTGAGGTCGTGTCGTGTGATGTGGAATCCGAGAGATGGGTAGGTTCATGTATCGTGGGTTCCACTGTGCCTTCGATAGCTATGTTGGTGCTCTTGGTTTCCTGGTTCGTTAGATCCTGTATCACTTCTTGAAACATTTGGTCGATGGCTGTGTCCAATTCCACTTGTGACGTCAATGTTGATTCGTTCTGTGTTGGTGGTCGGCATGGCAGGCGGTATGTCTGAGGACATTGTGCCGAGGTTCTGAGGCAAGCAAACTGGAGAATGAATGGATGTCCAGCAGGGTTTGTTGTCGTATATGGTGCAGAAGGTATCGGATTTCGTCCATATGTGTTTGAATTGGTTTATTAGAGTTTGTATCCTTGGTTGTGATCGTTCTGTCCTGTGTATCGATTTCCAGCATTCCATGCCCACGTGAATTTTGGTTTTCCAGGCGTTGAAAAGTGCTACTCCGAGGTTGAAAGGCGATGGGTTTAATTCGTGGCCGCACTTTTCTGCCCATATCTGCCATAGTAGTGCCGTCTTGAGTATCTCCCATGGGGTGTTGGCATTTACGGGACAATGCTTGCAGTTGTTCCGCAAAATGCCGTTGTTGCTATGTCCGAGGACATTGTCCCACGTGTACCATTTGTTCCCGGCCTTCCAGAAATGTCCACTATGGAAGCAGTCCGTGAGCTCTAAATGTAGGAGTTCGTTCGTTCCAGGCTGTTATCTCGCACTGCCCCCTGCCTGTGGTTGCACTTCCCCCTTGTTTATCCTTCAGATGTTCGATATTGTTGAAATCCCCAGCCATTATGTGGTGGGCAGGAGGGAGAGGGTGTCGCTTGATTGTTTTCCATAGTCTAGCTCTGCTGCCAGTATGTTGTACCCATATACGTTAATTACTCCAAGTTTGAGAGATTGTGTGAGTTTGAATGTAACGTACTGTGCACGGCCGGATTCAATGACTCCATATTCGCAGACCTATGTTGCGAGTTTCTTAGAGAGCAGGATTCCTATTTCTCCCATGGAGTCTTTGGCCGCAGAGCAACGGGCTTCGCTCCACCGGGAGGTACCACGTAGCAGTTCGAGTTGTGATGTTCTCTTTCGGCATTCGTGAATTGAAAGTTTGTGTTCTTGAATGATTAATAGATCGGGCCTAGGGGTAGTTCTCGCGAAGAATTCCTTGATCTCTCGTCTTTTGAGGAAGCCAGCACGTTCACGGCCCAGACATTGAATGTTCAAGGAGGCGACGGTGAGGGGTTCTAACATTCTCCCGAGCCCACTTCCGAGGGGCGGGCGTCCCCATTTCCTGTGAGATGGCTTAGTGTGTGTTCGGTGGTGTGCACGGTGGTTTCAGATATGGTCGTGGGGGTGATGAAGTCCATCGGCAAGTCCTGAGGGGGGTTGCAACCGAAGAGGAGTTGTCTTCCCTGTTCCTCGATTGGATCTCCCATGGATTGGCCTCCATGTGTGGTAATGTCGAGATTTGGTTTTGAATAAAGTTGGGGAGTATGTGCCAGATGTAACTGTGGCGGTCGAAGGGTGAAGATTGTTTCGTCGCATACTATGATAGCTGTGAGGATGCATAGTGCCGACTTTCCGGAGGGTCGAAGCCATTCGTACCTCCAGGATCCGTCTTCCCAGTTTCGTATCGGATTTCTGTGTTTGTTTTGTAACGTTATCTTGGGTCGGAGTTGTAGCATTGTTTCGTTTACCAAGTGGGTTTTTGCTTCTTCTTGTGTCCATGAGGACTTGTTGAGCGGTTGGGTCAAGTAGAAGGATATTGGTGGTGTCTCATCATGTATGGCTATGGGGTGTGGCATATAAACCGTCATCTTGTTTGAGGACGGTAAGGGGGAGCACCGCGGCTGAGAATTCTGAGCCTTGTGGCTGGGTTTTCCAGTTGAGGGCAGTCCACTAGTCTGGGTGAATATAGGTAGTGTTGTAGTCTACAGCCCCTTCTTGTAAGGTATCTATGACGTCCTCCCAGGAGTGTGGTTTAACTGGTTTCCAAACGAATCCCTTGTTGGGGCTTTTCCTTGCGGGCTGTCTTTTCCGATATTCTGTTGAGCCTGCGGGTGAGACGTCGCCGTTGAAGCTTTGTCCCGAGTTGCTGCTGATGGGAATAGGCTCTGGGGTGTTGAAGGTTGGCGTGGCTTTTCTGCGAACTTTGTTGGTACTCTTGTTTACGATGCGGTTTTCGGCTGGTCTACGATAGATGTTGCAGTCAGGTGTTGTGTGGTCGTATGACCTACATCGATTGCATTTGGTGTTGAATCCGCTTAAGAGGAGAGTATGTTCCTGTTCTTAGTCTTCCTCTGTGTCTAGTCTGTTGATTTTGATGGTTTTAGGTAGTGCTGTGGTGTTTGCAACAAGGATTCTAACTCTAGGCCCAGAGATCTTTGACCGGTGTAGTTCACTGTCGTCGATCGTCAGTATTTCAAAGAGTTGGGAGAGGGTGGGGTGTGGAAACTCCTTCGTCCTTAGTGCGTGTGGAAGCTCCAAAACCTGTACTCATAATGCTGTTTTTTGTTGCTTGTGTGTAGCGGAAAGGTCTAGTTCGTAGTAGGGGGTCCAGGGGTAGAAGCATATCTCCTTGTTATCGATTTTGTAGCTGTACTTGGTGAGGGTTTGTTTGACGCCATCTAGGTGGTTGAATTGTATCTCTACATAGTTATTCTCTCTCATTCTCAAGCATTTGAAGGACGGATGAAGTCTTGTGTTTGCCCATGTGGTGAGTCGCTTGACTCCTGGATTGTGTTCTCTGACCAGGCCCAATACCATGAATTGGCTGAAATTTTCCATCTGCTGTTGACATTTGATTCTCAACTCGCTTGAGATTGAGAGTCGTATTGGCTCTGGTGTTTCCGTAGGGGTGTGTGTGGACTGAGGTTCGTCCACAAGCTGCGTCCTTTTGTACTGCGTCCTTAAGCTCCATCCTTTTGTACTGCTTTCCTCGGAGGTTTGGTCCGTGCGATTCCTTTGCTGGTTTCGGAACTATGCTCCATCGTCCGTCCATTCCTTGCCTGTTGTCTTAGTGTGCGGCTACGTAGTTGATATCTAGATGCGTGCGACTCCTCTCTGTCTATGAAATAATCTACACTATGACTATCTGGTCCTGCATCGGAAGCGTGGAGAATAATGTTGTCGCTACTATTCTGCGCTCCAACCCCACCAGTCACTCGATTTTGTTCCATACTCCTCTAAATTGAACAGAATCTAGTGCATTAAGCTTTCCGAGAGATGCAGAATGCGAATACTGGCAATCGTACTGTAGAACGTGACTTATCAATCACAGAGAGAGATCGAAAAAAGCAGATAAAGCGTCTTTACCCCTTCCAAGATTCTCGGATCTGCGAGGCACGCAACCAGCAATACCGGCATATACGGACAGTCACAACCCAATTCTTGTTGGGCAAAGGGATCTGTGAAGGTGACGATATTACGTCCACCTGTGCAGACCAGCTAGACGTAGGTAGCAACCCCACATAAATTTGACGCGCTACAGCAAAATTAACATGAACTGGCCCGTGATAGTCTCTGGAGTTTGGAACAGTATGAAGTGAGCTGCGGAGAAGAGTCCAAAATCGAATAACTAATTTGAATTCACACTCACAACAATAAAGGAAGGCCATAGTAGATATTGAGTAATGCACTTTAAAACCTGATTTACGATTGCATACTCATCTCTTATATACGAATGAATGGTTAGCTATACAATAAAAAAACCAGCATTGCAGGTGAGTATGAACGAGCGACAAATGGTTTTTGAAATTGTTCGAATAGAGGACATCTTCATGACCAGCATATGCAGTCTTACTCGTAGAGACCTTCTTGCTCCCATACATCAACAAGAAAATCCACCATTTCCTGCACGTTTAGCCCAATAATGGTATCAGTAAGCCATGAAAAGTATATCTAGTAAGAGTGAAGGATAAAGGAATCACCATACTGCACAAGACCAGCGCTAAGAAAACACGCTTTTGTCAATTAAGTCCAAAAAATGGTCTACAAAACAGGGCGACCTGAACTCACACATAGAAGACTCATATCTTGACACTTACAGGTAAAGGAATTAGTTGTGAAAATGGTCTACTTGTGCCAAGTAAATCCTCGTAAGTTGTACTCCAGCTGGCATTCCGAGTCACCAATGTCCACATTTCAGCCTACATACATTTCACAAGTCTTGCAGATACTATTCGTGATCATGAATTTCCACAACCAGCACTCGTGAACAAACACCTACTGAACTCGGCTATACTGAGGCACCAATCATCAACATGACTTACATTTCAAGCGTGCAGCCTGACCTCTAAAGAAGTTACATTTCTTGCGCATAATTTAGACTACCGCGATCTTAAATAAAACTTGTGCATAGATTGTTAATAAACCTGGCAGGACCAGGCCAGGGTTTCATTCATATAGAAGAGCTAGAGCATAAGCTAGGGAAGAACCTGATCACTGGTTCTCTATGTCTTTTAGGTCGAGGCCTCTCTCGATTTCCCAACCACTCCCGTCTTTCTTCTGTCCACCTTCTCAATGCTGCACAAAGCATAACCATGCAGTGTACAACAACCCACACAACACATGGCTTATCGAATCCAAAATTAAGTAGAAAAGCATTATGTTTCTAAGAGTATGACAAGGCATCAGGAGCTCACGTGCAGCTGAGTTGATAAGAGTAAACAAAGATATGAAGTGAATTCCATAATTACAGTTCAACACAGTATATAAATTGCAAAGCTCTTCAGCAAAAAGTTTCCTCATTCAGCATAAATTGTTATTTCGAAGATTAGCAACTATTGATGCCCACTTAACAAACAGATGCTTAAATAAGTTTTGTGCAATTGCATCCAGGTATGCACGCAAGATCCACCAATCAACATACACGAAAGGTAAAGCATTAGTTTGAACACTGAAAGATAATGAGTACCATGATTTACGTATGGACTATTCACATCGTTCTCAGCAGGTGAGTGAGCCTCTAAACTGAGGTGGTTGGCATCAATTGAACTGGAAGGTCTTTGTTGGCAGGAATTGCTGCCATTGTTTTCCATCTCATTGGAACTTGAAGTTCCCAATGGATTATTAAGAGGCACTGCTTCACCTATATCTGCCCCTAAAAAGTCCTGGGTAGTTCTTAAGTCTAGTTTTTGAGACTTGGTAAATCGCCCAAAGCAATTCCCACACTGATAAACATAAAAGCGAAGATCACACGAAGCAGTAAGAGGAAAAACGAAATGAATGCATAAAAGATGCACAAATACAGAACTTCTAACTCTGCAAAGTTACACAGTACCAAGTTTAAATCTGAAATCGGGTCATAACTCTTTAACATTAGATGAGGAAGATGCGGAGCTACTTAGTGCAATCTCAAAAATATTATACACGTGCTCAACATTCCTGGTACGAACTTCACAAGATGAACTTCACCATGACCTCAAGATCTTATACGTAATGGACTAGCCTGCACTGCACAAAGACTTCTAGTCATTCTTTAAGATATGAGAAGGCAAAGCAGGAGAAAGGGAGATGCGCACCCCATACATACAGCGCATGCAGAGGATTGAAAGCTTTATCAACCAAAACCAATCAAGCATACTAAACATCCGTTGATGCTTCTGCTGTTCCTGCTGAGGCACCACTTAGCACAATTTTTGAATCAAGCCTCCAAACACAGTTAAATACTTTTGTCATCCTGCACCGCTGCAATGTAATTCTATCAACGCAACATCAACCTTGAAATAAAGAACCTAAAATTTAACTGCGAGGAGTTGAGGGCAATGCATTGGTCAAACAGTCGAGAGGGGTAAATATTAACTCTAAATAGTCACAAATATCATGCCATAAAATGGAAAAATTCGTAACACACGAATTCTTGGTAGGAAAATGAACACAAACAATTCTACTGAGAAAGCTTGCAATCGGCACTGTCCACAATTAATGACAGCTTAAGATGTTCCAACTTAGGATTAACAAGTAGCATCGATAATCCATGACTTTTCAACGAGAACACTCGACGAATCTTGAATCCGAAGCTGAACCCAAAAATGGAACATCCAAACCCCAGTTAAGCGTTAGCTGAAATTAAAACATGGTGTGATAGCAAACTGTACTTGCGTCTACATTTTCACTTATATTTTCAAGAGACGAGTAGATAACAACATGAGACTAATCGACACACAGATGATGAATTTATAGACGTTAACAGGAGGAGCTCACGAAAAAAAAAAAAAAATCTACACACACATACTATGAGAAGAAAAAAGACAAGCAAAAGAAAATAAACAAAATCGTGCTGTGAGAAAGTAACTTAAAGAAACTACACACACGAGCTGCATCAGTTACCCTGACGATATTCTTGAAAAAATTTAAAAATAAAGAAAACTAAAAACCGGGGAGACAAGAAAAGACAACGTAAGATAGCCAAAATTCGTACGAGTTCCCAGATGGTGACGCCTAACGGGAGGGGAAAAAAAATCCTTCACCACAGAACACTTACTTCAAACCATCTCCCAGACTGCGTCGCCTCCGCGCAGTCGTAATTTTTTGATCGCACTCTCCGTCTGCCAGAATTCCAAGATCGGGAAATGCCAGAAAGTAAAACCGAACCGAATTTCTCTTAACTACAGAGAGCGTGACTTCAAACGCAGAACTGTACGCGTAAAGCTGACGATCCAGCCACCCAGACCCCAGAGCTGCTGCTACAGACTCACCATGAAAGCAAGCAAGAGAAAGGGAAGGGAAGGGATGAGGGATATACACACGGCGCATCGCCGACGAAAGTATGAAAGAGAGAAGAAAAGAGCCCGCCTGCCCTCCTGCCCGCCCGAGATCGCACGAGCGGCTATTAATAAATCCATCGAAAACATGCTCTTCGTCTCGCAAAAAGCCGCTCTCAAACAAAAGTAAAAAACTTCAATCCAAAACTTAAAACAAAAAGTAAAAGTTAATCCTTCTCCGCTCACACTAGTTTCAGTGTGACTCGAGGGTTCGGTTCACACCGTCCTCGAACCTGATTATCGATCGACGATTATCATCCACTTACGAAGTTCTTTCATCATCTCTACATTCATCCGCTTCGGTTTCTACTTGTTTCAGGATTTTATTTCTAGAGCTCAAGTCCCAGGTTTGTATTTTTCAAAAATAAACACTTTGCTAATACTTTATTTTTCCTTTTACATTATTCATTTATTATTCATAAAAAAATATGATGTGATTTATTGATCTCTTTGAATTTTTTACTGTGCCAGCTTCTATAAACTTTATGCATAAAATTATTATAATATAATAGTTATCGCAGCCTAATTTTATTTTATCACTTTCTAGTATATGTTTATTTTAAAACAGGTGATCACGACCTAAAAGCATTTATATAGTGTTTTAAGACTGTACTATGTGATTCACACAATTTTGCTAAAATTGAAAATCTAAAATATTATATGTTGCACACAGACTTTGTCTTACTTCCTTGTTGGGTTTTTTAAATTTCCATTGGATTCGTGTTTAGCTACTAAATTTTAAGAATATATTTTAATATCATTTTTTTTTTTTTAATATCTCTACATAGAAGTGAGTAAGATGCTACACAAGTATTTTGATAAAGTGATCTATCATTTATTATGAAAGATTGAAGACTATCTCACTCTCAATAAAATTATAGAAGTATTCAACAACTTTTCCAATTCTTTCATCTTGTGCATGTACGTATACAGCACGTTTGTATATGCAAAATGTTTTTGCTAGATTTTATATATAATAATAGGATTCTAAAACTCTTTTTTTTCTACAATAATGTAAAAAGTGTGTGCATGCATGTATATACGAATATATATATATATATATATATAATATTATTTATTTATATATTTAGTTGTCTTCTGCTTAAGGAATCAATTCATGATGATAAAAACACAGAGTAGTCTTTCAAAAAATGTTTGATTGTTTGATTATTGCACTGACACATTCTCCAGAGGATTACAAAGTGAAACAAATTTCCAGTCAACACCACATCAATACATAATTATTTCATTCACTTGAAGAAGAAGAAAATAAATAAATAAATAAATCATTCCGTTAGAAAAATTCTTCAATTTAAACTTGCTCTAAAACTCTTTAATGAAAATAAAGGTTTTATTGTATACATGTGGGGCTATGTGGCATTAGGGTGTCCACATAGTGGTTTCCTAATTCATATATATATATATGTATTTATACTTATTTCAATAATAACACTACATCATGCACCAGGGTCGATTCTTTTTTACTTATTTATTTTAAAATATTTAAAAACTCTATTTTATGTTTAAGGGAGTGACTCAAGATGGAAAGGAGACTGAAAGACGAAAATGTGAATAGAAGGAAAAAAAAATACGAATCTTTGACTTCAGTGATTGGTTTGAATACAGGCTGTCCTTGGAGTGTGGTGGATGTTTTCATAATATTATGGAGTTTTGGTGGTCAATTTGTTAATTGCATATGATGGGGGTTTAATTACCTAGTATTTTTATTGTTGAAACTTTCAATATTCAGCATATATCCAATTATGTGAAACTACATCCAGTATATCATCTTTAATACCAAGAGCTTCGATGCTTTTATTATGAAATGCAGGGTCTTCTACATTTGTCCCAACTACAATTGCTTATCACTTATCTATGTAATAGTTATCTAAGCATAAAACACTACAATGTAAATTATTTGAATCTCAACATGAATTATTGCGCACCATAAATAAAACCTGCAATATTTTGTACAAAAATAATTTGCACAATCTCTTATCACCTTTCCTTATTAAAATAAAAAAATAATAAAAGGAATGAATTGACTTCTTGCTTCAAAAACAAGTAAAGTAGCCAAAGTATGCTACAAAGTAAAAGTAGCACACGAAGATCTGCATCGAGGAGCGGTGTCGATGATCTTGTCGGTAATGAAATCAGACGCGGCCCCCACCTCCGAGAAATGCCAGTCCGGTGCATAGCAGAGTTAAATGTGAGAGGCGGAAGTAGACTGCGTTGGGAAACACGGAGGAAGCACAAGACGAAGGTGCGGCGATCCAGGACCAAGTGCTAAGTTGTATGTACAAACCAGGTGTGTAAAGTGCCTTTGGATTAAAAGTGAGTGTTTTAGTGAGTGGGTCGTCGCTTTTTGCTGCAGAAACGAGAGGAGTGATCGATTTCAGAATGGAGCCGATGAGGGTCACACGGATGTTGCAGGTTGCAATCGTAATCTTCCCGAACATCACAGTTCTCGACTTCATTGGCCCGTATGAGCCACTGAACAGACTGCCGAATGTGAATGTGGTATTGGTTAGTCATAGTAAGGGTATCATCAGAGCTGAAAAGAGCTTGATTGGCTTCGAGGCGACGGCCACTTTCGACGAGGTGCAGGAGCCCGACATCGTCATCGTCCCTGGTGGGTATGGAGTTAATGCTTTGATACGTGACAAGCCCATCCTGGACTGGATCCGAAAGGTAACGCACCCATTCATGCGTTGTTGAGTGGATCTGCTGAGGATGGGTCTTGCGCAATTTTTTTGTTTTGTTGTGGAGGAGATTGGTTGTTGTGTAAGAAGCTGAAATTTGCGATGTTTGGTCCGTGGATGCTAGACCCATGAGAAAACCCTGTACACCACGTCGGTGTGCACGGGGTCGCTGCTGTTAGCAGCAGCAGGCATTTTGAATGGATTGGAAGCAACTTGCCATTGGAGGGTGCTGCCCGAGCTGTCGAAATTCGGTGCCAAGCCCACCAGCTCTCGAATTGTGGAATCGGTACACTGCTAGACCATCGTGGACCCTGCGTTTAAAGCAACTATGCAAGGACTCTTCGTTTTTTGAATCGATGTTGACATCATGTTTTATTGCTTCGTGGATTGGCGCAGGGGAAAATAATCACTGCAGCCGGTGTGTCTGCGGGAATCGACATGGGCTTGAAATTAGTTGCCTTACTTTCAAATGACACCACTTGCAAGCTAATCCAACTGGTGATTGAATACGATCCCCAGCCTCCCTTCGATTGTGGATCACCTGCGGCAGCTGGTCCCGAACTTGTCTCTATGGCTCGAGCGTATGCGGAGAAAAACTACCCGGATTATTTTATATTTTAAAATCTGTTAAAGTTTGCAAATCATGCTACAAATACACGACATTAAGACATCAGTAATAGTGATAAACTGTTGTTCAGAGGTTGTTGGTTTGCCATCTGCGTACGATGCAATCAATAACCCTTTGTTTCAAATAAACATCACACCTTTCACGCAGCTGTGACTCCGCGAGCATCGTTGTGCGTGTATCTGGTTAAGTCCTTTATTTATTTATTTATTTATTTTTACTTTGCACAGTATCACTGCTTCTCGCTTCACCGTCTGATTGTCTTAAGATGACACGCATGATCAATCTTAGGATTTCTTTACTGTTAATGCCGGTGTTGCACGCAGCTGGAGATTGTATATGTATCAACAGATTACACCGATAAGTCAGTGAAGTCGTAAAGCAGAGGCACTGTCCTGATGACTTCGTCCATCCCCACTGACATACCAGCTCGGGTGCGACGGTCTTGCCTTGATAGTCAATTCATGCGAACATGGAATCAGGATTGAAAGACTGATGTATGCCTCTGAAGGATTCATCTTTCAAGGATGCTTTATGGAGAAAATGAATCTCACCACTTTTTCGTCTGCGAAGACTTCTAAATCTTTTGATTGTCAACGGATTCTAATGTTCCATATCTATATCTATATATATATATATATATATATGCAATTAAAGGTCGAGTAGCAACTTCTACCCTCTTATCAAACCTCGACAGGGATGAGCATTTTTCATATGTGGCCATCCGCTTTCAACCTCTCTGTTTTGTTAACTCCACTTCGTCCACATTTCAAGGCCATGCTCCGAAGGCTTCAGGAAGAATTATGCCATAAAGAAATGAGAAAGTGGACGTAGGAGAAATGATCGAAGAGGACTCACTCAAATGCAATGAATGTAGATATTTTGTTTATTATACAATATTGACTTTATACATTGACCAGTTGTAACATCAACAAACATAGATGTAACTAACATCCAATTTATCACTGCACTTCAAAAGAATTATGAATATTATTAGTAACATTCGTTTAAGTTAACATCTGTTGATATCATGCACTATATAATTGAGTATGAAGAAAAAAATGAATCGAATTGTATGCACCAAATTGTTTTAATAACATTTGTAACCATACTTGACTTGCTTTTCATGTTTATACTTGCACCCATTACAATTCAGTCTCAACTTGAGACAAAATGCCTTCATAAATGGTATTTTGTTACGTATATAACAAAATTTCTGAAAATATAATAAAGTAGTTCACTGAATAGCTTCAGGATTAAAGAATATAAATCTGGTTATTTTAACACTCTTAAGTAAATTAGATATTATACATGTGATGTCATAGTAATACTTTACGCTTAATTCTTGTGTCATAATTTCCTCGATCCTGCATCTTCTCACTTCGAGCAGAGTGCTCTCAAATGTAACTTGAATTACTACCAGAAGAAAATCGATTCAAACAAATCACAAGAATCAGATGATGTTTGACTAAAATTTTACAAATTAAAGATTTTCAACTTAACTCTGGCATCCAGTTGCACAAAGGTTCTGGCCACGTTGACTTCACAGCGAAGGAATGTAGACAAACAAAAACATGTGTTGGAATGTGTTGAAATATTGATCGAAGATATATCCATATACACGAAGGAAGAGGAGATACAGAGAAATCTCCTTTCGCAAACATATGCAGGTTGCTTACTCCACTAAAGCTACTGCTCTCATTTCAAGAAAAATAGTCTACCAATATTTCCATTAGAATGAAGAGATAGAGATACCCAAGCCACTTGTTGCAATGTCTACAATCTGCTAACGGTAGAGTATCAATGCAGCTTGAAGAAGCAAAAAGGTGAACACCGGCAAAAACTGCTCCATTGACATCTTTGCATTCACGACTAAGTATCCGCAAACCGCATTGGAAAAATAGCTCCACTTATTTCGCTCTCAGTTCCCATCTTCGAATGCAACTAACCATGCCTCACGTAGTCCAAGCTCACGACTGCTGCAAGATTTCGGCATGTCATGGCACAAATAAAAAATTTGACCTGAGTAAGCAGAGCTCTACAACTCTGATTTCACTTTCCAGCCAGCTCAACGGGCAAGAATCTTGGCATCACAGGCAACAATCTTCACCCGGTCCACAGCTGTAACATCATTATCTGTTTTGAAGGATGCCTGCTCTAAGATGAAGGTCCAAACGTTATCACAGAATCTGTATGTGTGAAGATGACCCTGTTTTGCAATGGAGAGTATTTCAGAACAGCATAACAGGACAGAAATTATTGAACTGTAATAGTAATCAAGAAGACAATGCACGCAGCAAACAATTGAATAGCATGATCTGAACATGTTGAACATATATCTGCTCATGTGCTAACAGCACTTCAAATGATTTAGGGTTCTGAATTTATGAGACGGCTGGATGCAAGCTTCACAAAAATTAGATAACCCACTCCTGGCATAGACTCGATGCGAAAATAAGCACTCCGCACTGATTAAAAGCCACGTGATTAAATACTCGAATAAAAAGCACCTTGAAACTCGTTTTAGCCTTCACTTTCGTGCTGAAAGCCTCGTTCATTGACTGCTCCAGCCCAAAAAAAAAAAAAAAAAAAAAAAAAAAACTTAGCTCAATAACTCTATTTCCAACAAACTGATCACAGCAGATGTGCCCAATAGCGGAAATGAAGCAACAAAACCGTCCGCTCCTCAAATGAATCCACACCCACAAAACGAACAAGACAAGAAACGCATTCACGGAAACGAAACTCGTCACAAAAAAAAAAAAATAAAAAATAAGGACAAGAGGAACAACTTAGGGTTTACTGGCAAACCCGATCAAACTGCATGAGCACTTTGACAGCAAGCAGAGGCGAAATGGTGCCATTAGTGACGAGCTCGTCCAAGGCGTCCGTGAGACTCATTCCGATTGAGGATTTCCTGTATAGCTCGTAGCTGGCCATGGCGCTCACTCAACTGGTACAGCCAAAAAAGCACCCACAGAAGCGTCAGCGAAGAGAGAGATCCACTGCACTCACTCAAATAAACCAATAAAAATATGTATATATATATATATATATATATATATAAATATATTGTGTGCAGATGGATAAATAGATAGATAGATAGATTGTCAGCGCCTTCCTTCTTTCCTTCGTTCCTTTCCTTCCTTATTTCGTTGGCCCAATCCCAAGCTCGACGACACGACGTCACCGCGCCTCAGTTTCGACCATGAATCACTCCCTCCCTCCCTCGCTCGCAAGCCCCCGCCCACGCTCTTAGGGGCTCGGCATCTTCTCCTCTCTCTCTCTCTCCCTCGGTGTCCCTTTTGCAAAGCGCGGTCAAAGGATGTATGGTCCCTTGACCGTGTCACGACATCGTCACATTCCAAATGCTAATGACCAACCCACTAAAAGGAAATATCCTTTTGGAATTCCTTGGGCTTATAATTGACCCCTGACAAGGAGTTTGGACTAAGTATTGGGTGATGGTTTATGTACTTTTTCATTTTTATTATTTTGTTAAACTGTGGGTTTTCATGCAAATTGTGAATTAGATGTATGTGGATTATGGAGTTTATAATATAGGTTAGACTTGCTTATTGGTGTAAATTATAATTCTTTCACAGTAAAATTTCATTAAAATTAAGCAAAACAAAAATAATGTATACATATATATTGTATGTGTGATATTCACACATAGCCTCAAATGGTAAATTTACAGCTGCATTAAATATGCTGATCACTTTCAATAATAATAATAATAATACTAAAATACATGTTTATGTGTGTGTCACTCTTTCTCTCTCTCTCTCTCTCTCTCTCTATATATATATATATATATAATCTTACGGATTTTCACAGATAGATAAAAATTCATTCCATGGATTCTCATATATTTATTATTTAATAAAGTGAAAAGAAAAATGCCCTTATCGTCGTCACCCGAGGTCCACCTACGAATTCTATTTATACCGGGGTAGATACCCGTCAGACGAGAATGGTATCCGGATTTTGAGCATGCGGGGCCAATTTCTCAGCATTTGCGCAGGCTCTTCCGCGTTGATTGCAAAAAGCTGGGTGGAAGGAAGGTCCACCAGTGCGTGAGCGATCCGCTGTTCCTTGTGATCTCGTTTCTGCTTCTCGCGGCGGAGTAGGTTTCGCATTTGTGTTCGCATCATCAGCTTTGGAGCCATTTCCTGGTCGAAATCTTAAGGTATGGATCGATCGTTTTGATGCGGTACTGATACCCCCGCGTGGTTTGTCGGTGTCGCCTCGAAGCTCCCTGTCGGGGTCTCGATGAACATTATTTTATTTTGTTTTTTCGTGCAATCTCAAGCGGTTGATGAAAGATCGCCCGAGTTGGAGTTTTTTGAGTTTAGATGTTCAATTTGGAGGCCGCATGTTTTTCAGTAGGATTGATTCCAAAGGAGGTTTTCCGCCCGGGTTCCTATTTCATCTATTTGTGCATTGATTTAATAACTATGTTAATTGATAATTTCAGAGGCCCTAGTTCTTGTTGAGTTTCTTAACGTTTAGTGTTAAGGATTGCGCGTGTGGAGTCACGTTTGGGGTTGATTTTTGTGCAAATCACTATATCTATATGTCGAGATTCCTTGCAGGGCGTGTTTCTGTTTTCGGCATTTGCGTAGGTTTAGAACGGCTATCTTGAGGAAATTGACTTGGAAAGGATAGTATGTCTGTACATTTTGAGGTTATGTCGTGAATTATACTCGTTTATTTTTCTGTTGTTTCCAGGGCTTACGGTTAATCTGAATGTGGCGGGAAATTTAATCTGCTCATTTTGCAATTGATTTCGATAATGTGCATTCAGGGTATTGAGCAGGCTCGAGCATTTTGAAGCTTTTTGGAGCTTTCAGCATGGGTATCGGGGATTACAAAATGGCTGAGTTCCAAGGAGGGCTCAAGGCCGACAAGTTTGATGATCTTGAGGCAGGATTCGGCGGGTCGTCGATGTTGTACCCAGGCATTAGCGCAGATGAAAATACGCTAAGATGGGGTTTCATCAGAAAAGTGTACGGAATTCTCAGTGTTCAAATTCTATTAACAACCATAGTTGCCGGATCTGTTGTGTACTTCGAGGGCCTCAAAACCTTTTTTCAACAGACACCAGGATTGGTCCTCTTCCTCGCATTCGTGCCCCTCATAGGTGAGCTTCCTTTTACTTTTCATGCCTTGGCTTCCTGTGTACTGACTGTATTTTACTGTACAGATGACCAAAGCTCCTGTATCGATTGCTGTTGTAAAAGTGTGTGTTGTTGCTTCGTGATCATTCAACTGTACTCCGGCTGACCCTAACTTCATTGAACATGAAAAACATAATATCCAGTGAATGGTCTTCGAGCAGTTGTTCGCTAATGGACACCTATTAGGAGCACTTGGTTAGGAATCCTGATGTATTTGTGTACTTCGCCTGACCCGGGTTATAATTATTTGCAGTTATGTGTCCTCTGTACGCGTACCACCAAAGCCATCCATTGAACCTGATTTTACTGGGACTCTTCACTGTGACAATGAGTCTTTCAGTTGGCATCTCAAGCTCCATGGCACCAGGTACATCTGATCTTTATGGTTCCAAACCTTGGGAACCGGAAGTTAGGGTAGTTGGTTTTATGGAACCTTATTCTGCTATTCAGTCTGAGTCGTATTTATACTCTTCTGGTGGAGACTTTTCCCGATGCCATTGTCCTACCTACTTCACTCCATCGTGCACATTTACACAAAGATTCTCTTCTTACTGTACTGACTATGATAGACTATAGCTTGATATAATATTGTTTAGCTAGAGCGCTACTAAGCTCAATTTCACTCATTGCCTTTTCCTTGACTGACTTTGTAAACAGCGCCGATCGTATTGGAAGCATTTGTTTTGACAACCATTGTGGTGGTGGCGCTGACTGGTTACACCTACTGGGCTGCGAAGAAGGGGATGGACTTCAACTTTTTGGGTCCCGTTCTTTTCACAAGCCTGGTAGTCTTGGTTTTCTTCGGTTTGATTCAGGTAATACATCCTCTTCAATCTTCAATTCGTGTATCATCTGAACCTGAACTTTTTTTGTCCTGGTATACCAGAGATGATAAAGAATGTTACATCGCAGTGTGGGCAGTGCTCTTTTTGTTTTTTTTATATGCTTTGGCTGGATATTCTTCTGTAGGAGTCTAACTCAGAGAGTTCAGTCTTAGTTCATCAGGAAAGCAATGACTATGTCCCAGATGCTGCTAGCACACATGCTCGCATTTTTGTTTTGTGATCCTCTATTTCATCCATCTGTCATGGTTGCCCGTATTAACAAGACTGGTGACTTCACTTCCAGTTAGTTAAGTTGATAGCTGGTTGTGCGTGTTGTCTATGTTATTACCATAGAAAGAAGTGAGACGAAGTCATTCATTATGTAACAAATTTTCTTTTTGGTGTGCAGGCTTTCTTTCCTCTGGGTAACATGTCTCAGACAATCTACGGAGGGCTCACTGCTCTTCTTTTCAGCGCGTATCTTGTTTACGACACCGATCAGTTGATCAAGCGATATACATACGACAAGTTCATCCTGGCCTCAGTTGCCCTATACTTGGACATACTCAACTTGTTCATCTCCATACTGCAAATTCTCAACAGTTCTCGATCTGAGTAACTAGCTACTTAATTTGAATGCTTGTTGCGAAAAGCATTAGAGTAACATATTGTATTTGTGTTCTGCATGGAGAAAACGCAAAAACTTGGCAGTAGGCTATAAAGAGCTGCTAGCAAATAAATTCTAATATTATCAAGAAGTTTTGCTGTTGGATCCCACAGTACCTATTGCTCTATCCTACTTCACAGCATATGCTTTGTTGAGATGACGCTGAGGGCACATGTTATTGGCTCTTCAGGGTGAATAGTAGGACGTTAAGGTCATTCTAGCATTTTCGAATGGTTTGATTGCTGTTTCGTTGTTAGCACAAGAGGTCGTTAGATTAGGTATTGGACTAGGATAAGTAATAAAATAAGACATGCATGTGATAAAATTACTTCTATAACAGATACTTTTAGGATTAATTCTTGTGGGTTTCTCTCTGAAGGTTACTATCAAAATTGTCAACAGATGATGGTGGTTTTGAAATCATTATTTGCATGGAGGATGCTATGTTGTTTCATGTCGTGTGTTTTGCTTTTGCCTTGATTGTGTTTGTATTTCATTTTGTTAACTATTTTATAATATGTTTATTTTATGGATTTCAAATCATTATCATAAGCTATTAGAAAACAAAGTAAAACTTTCAACTAATCATGTTCTAACATTAAAGGAAATTTGAACATTTTTTATAACACTATTGCATTTCTTGGCTAAAAAATTCTAGGTTAATATATGCATACATACATATTCATATATACATATATATATATATATATATATTGCTGATCAAATATATAAAATAATTAATATATAACAAAATTTAATAAAGTTGTGTAAAATAAAAAAAATAAAATTGGATAAATTCAATATATACATACATACACTAGCCAAAACCCATGTTGTTGGGCATTACATTCTTTGGCACATCCATCCACTTTCTCATTTACTTATGTTCTCATGTTCCATAATTCCTTGATTCTCCCTCGTTCCCTTCTTCAAGGCCAATTCAAAGACTTCTTCATCTATTTGTGGTATATCCAAGTTGTTGTATAAAATAAATATATTAAAAAATTGGATTGAAATTTCTTCTAACATTAACAAAGCTAAAAACGTTTTTGCTTGTGATTGCAAATTTGCAAGTGCTAACTTTTGCTCACAATGGTTCTTGAATGAAAATTGATATTGGAATTACATTTGTTGTTGATGGACCATGTAATAAAAAGAATTGTTCTTCATTTATAATAGTCCTCTGCTTAAAGCAATGCACTGTTTTAATTTGGCTGCTCTACAAATGCACATTGAAGTTTGATGAAGCTAATGATATTCTTGAAAAATGTTTATGTATATGTTTTGGAATTTTTTGCAAAAATCTCATTTAATTCATTTAACATTAGTTTTTTGTATTTTACAAGAGTTGTATTATTGTATACTTTATTTTATATTATTTTTCAACTTTATTGTTGTTACATTGTGAATGGTTTTTTTTTTTTTTTTTTTTTTTTTTGTTGTCTTGATCTCTGATAAAATTGCTGTAAAATTGCTGTGAGAAATATTTTTAAAGACAAGAAATATTACTTACAGCACTTTTATATTATTATCAAAGATCAAGCCAAAAAAAAATAAGAAAATAAAAAAAAATACAGAGAGCATCTACACATTTCAACCATGGGAATTACTTGTTTTTAAAAACTCAATGAGGTTTTTGTAGACTACTATCTAAAAAACACTCTGGATATACCCAAATCTCTCCTAAGGTTTTCATATTGTGCCATTTTTGGCTTAAATAACAAAAATAGAAGATGATGTGATAAGAATTGCACAAATATAATTAATGATTGAGCTTCAACATCGAAGTTATCTAACTCCAAGATCACAAGTCAAGTTCAAACACCAGCCTTTTTCATTATAATTCAAAATCCTTGACTTGAATAGCAACTAAGCCAACCGCAATTCACAATTACTTCGTGATCACATCTCCACTTGATCTCATTACCATAACTGGTTCATAAAAGCATAGAACAAATACATACCTTGGTAACCGCCTTGTCCCAAGTTAAGAAGGATCAAAGATCATTACAGTCCTGCACACACCCAAGGCCAACGTTGGCATCAACTCCTATATTAGAGAACACAAATAATGGTTTTGTAATCCATATGCTCATACAAAGCGTCAGCACAGCTCACTTACCAAAGACTCCCGGGAAAGCAACTCAGATGGCATGCCGGTTAGAAAGGGCTGCACACACTCAAGGCCAACGTTGACATCAACTCTTACATCAGAGAACAAAAATAGTCATTTTGTGCACATACAAAGAATCAGCCCAACCCTCTTACCAAAGACTTCTGGGAACACCACTCAAATGAACTGTCGTTCAACGAATCTGGTAACACCGGTAATGAAAGAACTGCGTCCATATCAACGCATCGTTTTCCGAGCTTCTCATCACCCGACTCCAAACCCTCATCAACGAATTATGTCTCCTCCATCAAAGCTAAAACCAACACCACAGCTGAGTCAAGCACCCGCAATTCTGCAGATCGGCAAAGTATTTGCTACATAAATTGGCAAGACTCACTAAGACGACATTCCTTATTCAAATAACTATCTGATGGCCACAAACTTCAAGCTTCACAACGTGCTTCACAAGGCCTACACCTCCCAACAAGCCCAAGTCGTCTTCGAATGGAAATTTGCTTTTCTGATACAACTAGAATTGCAGAGTGGCATCCTCAAACGTTTGTGCAGCAGAAGCTGGTTTGCCGTCAAACTACTAGGTGCAATTTCACTATAACAAGAGACAATGAGACGATTACTTACCAACAGGAAACTCCATGAGCCTCGGACCCTGTTGCAAGGCATCACCCTCTGAGTGAGTGCTGACAGGCTGTGAAGATTGAGCCTCCGCAACCGACTAAATACCGACGTCCTCAAAGTCGTCTAGAGAGAACTGAACACACCCAAGGTCAATGTCGGCATCAACTCGTACATCAGAGAACACAAATAGTGGTTTTGTAATCCATGTACTCATACAAAGAATTAACACAGCCCGCTTACCCAAATCTCCGGGGAACTAGGCGAACATTGCATATCGCTTATCCAGTCCTGCACACACCCAACGCCAACGTTGGCATCAACTCGTACATTCGAGAACACAACATGCAAAAGCTCTCGAAAACTGATTTCATCTATCTCAATTGCTACTTTTGTTCACAATTTAGCTCTCCATGAGAAATCATTGCATGATCCGCATAGCACGCAAAGAAGCACATACTTAACATGTACAGGTCATTCCCAACTTATCACACTGGAATTTATTCAAAAAGCCACCCAACGCAACCAGAAATAAAACACCGATACCACTCACTATCGCAAGATTCTTGCGTTGTCCAGCTTGCACCTCTTCACCCGAATTTGGTAACTCCAGTAGTGGGGGAACTGCGTCCATATCGGACCATCGTTTTCCGAGGTTCTCATCACCTGACTTCACACCCTAAGCATAGTCTTGTATCTTCTTCCTCAAGACTAAAATCAACACAACAGCTGAGTTAAGCACCCTCAATTCCGCAGATCGGCACAAAACATTTGCTGCACAAATTGGCAACACCCACAAATACAACCTTCCTTACACGAACCACTATCTGATGGCCCCAAACTTCAAGCTTCACAACATGCTTCACAAGGCCTGCACCTCCTAGCAAGCGCTCCAACTACACACATTGGATCGGGAACTCTCAAACCCAACACACAGAGGAATACAGCCACACCCACACATGTAAAATATTATTTCCTAAATCAAGTGCATGACAATTGTAAACCTTCCAACTCGAGTACTGTTGCTTTGTACTCTTCTTCGCATATTGCAAGCAAAATGGGACATGGAGATGCACCCGAAAACTTCAGTTTATCCATGGTCTTTTGAAACTCGTCAACATCCTGGGGATGGCTTGGAGGCGGCGTCTCGGACCATTCTGCAAGGATGGCAGAACATTACAATAGAAGGACGACATAGTTTCAGACATCACCTAGGAATAACTCTACCTAAAAATCTCGCCGGAGTAGATAACGAACAATCCCAAGTCGTCTTCGAATAGAAACTTAGTTTTCTAATACAACTCGAATTTCAGAGTGGCATCCTCAAACGTTTATGCGGCAGAAGCTGAGTTGCCGTCAAACCACAAAGTGCGACAAGACACAATGAGAAGATGACTTACCAACCGGACTCTTCGGGAGCACCGGACCCTGCTGCGAGGCATCACCCTCAGATTGATTGCCGGCAAGTTGTCGAAATTGAGCCTCCTCAACCTGGTTAAAACAAGCTAAGGAAATGTTATGTTCCAACTAGGCAGCTGGATAGCAACAAAAATGATGAACATCACTTGATAGGATTAAAAAATTCAGGTTACCAAGCAATCAATCTACTCGCCATGGCTTTCCGCCGATCTTCGTGAGCCAGTAGCTAGACGTGACCCACAAACAAAACAGAGAATGCAAGCAATTTGAGGAGCGTCATCAATCTTACCGGTCGGGGCTCGGTTTCCGCTCTCACTGCGTCTTTTATGAATTGCCTTATGCTTTCTATCTTACGTTTTCCAAAGACCCTCTTCCCTTGTAAAACCGTGAAGAATTCACCAACCAATACACGACCAGAAACCTCAAGGCGGATAGTCCGACGATCGAATTGTTCTTTCACCTGACTTTCGACTTCCTTCACAATCCGAAAATGAGGCTGTTAACAGCTTTTCGACGAGTACGACAGAAATCCTACGTTAGGGTTAATATAACATTGCGCACAGCCAAATTGACTCCCATCCGGACGCCTACTTAGTCCTCTCGTATCCATACCTCGCTCTCAACAACAATATCACACACAATCCTGCCTCGCGACAGCGTCTCCACTCACTCCTCGCTCAACCCCCCTCCCCCTCCCGAACTACCAACCACCATTCCTCCGTGTTGCCATGGCAAATTCATTTGCAGCAAAAACCCTTGAATTCCTTACATCTGCTTCACATCGTGATTTCCTGCACAGCTTTACTACATCGAGTCTGCGTTTATTCCATCGCGTCTGAGTTCATTCATCGGGACTGCAATTCAGAAAGATTCGAATCTTTTTGATGCCAACTGTGCCACCGAAGTCACACACCCCCCACAAGACCAGGCTTGTTGCCTCTTCCCGCCAATTATCGCTTTCGCGGCACCCAACCCTCCCCGACCGTTGGTCGCTTGCTCGCCTCGGGCTTGCAACGGACACATTTGAGCGTTGCCCTCCCACGAGTCTGCAGTCACCTTACATCTGTCGTAGGCTTATTTCCAAATTCCTCACATCACTGCTTTCCCGACCTTTGTACGCCGCCCTCATCACTCTCCCTCCAAAGCCCGTTTTCCCTCGCTCTTATTTTCTGAAACTGCGCTCAGTGTCCGTGCTGCTCCTGAGTTGAATTGTTGCAGTGGATCTCCGCCTTTCAGATTTGCAAGCTAAGGAGGCTACTTCGGCATTCTTTTGTCGATTGTAGCGTCTTTGGTGAGACGCCCACCTACTTTGTGTTTGTGTGTTCGGTCTTCTGGAGGCTGAGAGCTGTTTCAGTTTGGGTGTTTTTACCGTTGATTTCTGTTGTTTGTTTCTTTTTGAGTAGATACTTTCTTTTTGACGAGGGTCTGGATCCGCAACTCCAGCGAGGGAACCCCTTCTGGCTTGATAACAAGCGTATGATATATTTTTGAGGTGTGTGTTGTTGTATGCATTGTCGGTTCCTTGGTGCGTCGCGCATTGTGGCCCCTGTTGCTAGGAGTTGTGAGGGTTAAGTGAGTTATGCATCACGAGTTAGGTCATTGATCTTTTTATTTCTTGAACTCAATGCGAGGCTCGTCATTTGGGGATCGATTAGTGTGATTATCTGAGAAGTATGGAGAGTGGTCGTAGTTCGGAGTTACGTGCCACACTTCTGAATTTATGCTGTGTGCTAATTAATTCATGATCTTACTGAAGCAATTTTTCCGTGCCTTTAACATGAATTTTGGGCTTCCTCCGTCAATTGGCAAGAAGTAAGGCATGTTTTTCACTCCTTGTTCACAGAGAGTTTTTTCCTGGTGTTGCAAGCAGAGCTGCATCGGAGTGCTGTAGATATATTCAAGGGATTGGAACTCGAAGATGCCTAAAGTGGACCTTCTGTGAGATTCACGAAATTATGACAGCTTGGATCAAATCTTTGAGTTCTTCTCGGGGTAGATTATTTTGTGATCGATTGACTGTGCTGAATTTGAGTTATGAAGATGGGGTTGTTAGCCCTTGGCCGGCAACGGTTGAAGCGCCTTGCAGTATTGATTGATGTCCAAGTATACGCCCAGGTGCGTGGGTTCAATAGTTAGCAATGCTTATCATTTTAATTTTCAAGGGGTAGTAGATATGTGCTCTCCGGGTCTTAGCCTTCTCCATGCATTGTTGTGAATGTTCCATGTAGACTTACAGCGCCGTTCACTCGGTGTGGATATTATTTGTTTCAGAATAATTTCTGCATTTTCGCATCATCTTTAGACTCAAAGATTTGCCGAGTTGTCCTTTTAACATGAGGATCTAACTAGGGCAACTTCTTGTGAGCAGAGAAACAACAATGCTTCACAGGCGTACGTAAATCTCATCCGTTGCTGTATCGAGCGGATTTTATCAATGTGCAATGATAACAGCACTGGGCATCAGAAAAATGTTAATTGGGGTTTTAAGCTCTTTGATTCTTCATTGTCGCCATTGGCGTCAAGTTCCATGATACAGAGGCTCTTAAAAAAAACAGAAGCGTTTGGGCAAGAGCCTTATGGTCGAACCAAAACTGCTGAGGAAAAACTCGACCTTTTCCAGCAATCACTTTCTGTAGTAGCCACTGAGGTCAGCAGCAAAAGTTGTGATCCATGTCAGCAATCTCGGAGCAAATGTGAGTTCGTAATCAGAGCTCTACAAGAGCTTCTCTCAGACTTCACATGGGATTCTGTATCTATGAGTGATGGATCTTCCTCCGACGAAGACCAGGTCAAGAGAGCCGGTGAATGCCTAGGTGGCTCTGTTTGGAGTACTCAACAGAATTTGGTTGTGGTGTTTTCCCATCTGCCTGACAATATGAAGCAATTTGCAGATTTTATGAACTTGCCTATTTCTCAGTATTCAACTAGGGACAGAGAGATACTGAAAGCCTTCTCATCGAAGATGAAGAAACTACAAGACCCCTTCCGGCAGAAGGGCATTCATGCTTGCTGGATCGACATGCCCCGTGTATCTACATCGTTGCTAAATCAAGGTAAAGGACTGCCTGTCTCAATTGGACCGGACCGAAGACCCGAGAAACAGGAGCTTCATGAGGTCTTTGCACTAGCGAAGTGGAAGTACACGTCAATGGATGCTCTCGCAATTGCCTCGGATTGCATTCCTCTACCCATCCTTTGGTCTTCAGTTGCTTATCCTGATCTGCAAGTTCGACCCAAAGCTCCAAGGTTGCAAGCTAAGCTTCGATTCAGCATTATCGGCAGAGATGGGACACAACTTCAACCCGAAGTGTGTAAGCTGGAGGCGGTCGCACTGGACTCAAATGTTGTTGGCAGTTCTTTGATTAAAGATAGCATATCTGCAGCGTTAAAGTCGGGTTCATCGTCCACGAAAGTTGGAAAGTTGTCGACACCAAAATGCCCGTCCAAAGAAGCACCCGTAGTGAAGATTGTCGTTAAGTCTCTGTTGCAAAAGCAAAATTTACATTTCAGATGTTCTCTACGTTATCTTCTATACCATGGGGTAGGAAACGGAGGCGACTGCACGACTAAGCGCAAGTCGGCATCTGCTGGAAATGGAGTTGAGGAGCCAAATTCCCTCGCGGATGATGCTTCTTACTGTATTAACGGGGTTGACATTCTCCAACAGCTGCAGCAAAACCCGATGGGCTTTGAACCAGGACAACGTACCTGGCAGGTGTTCCTTGTTACCATTGCACGGAAAGGAAGTGTTGCTGAAGTTGATCTCTATGAAGATGGGGTTTGCAGCTCAGCTATCCTTGAGCCTATCAGTGCTGAGTATGCTGCCTTGTTACAAAAGGATTCGTCATCCAGACGCTTGAGCTCTGACTGCACGGAGCAGTTTGCCGTTCAACAGGCTATATCAAAATCATCACCGCTGTTGCTGACTACTGTAGAGAGTGTGAAAGATCTCGACACGCCAGGTAGTGAATGTCCTCGAGCCCAGAAGGATTTGAGGCCCCAAAAACGTCCTGCTGAAGCCATGTCATGTGAAGTAGACCCCCCTGCGAAGAAGGGGAGATATCTAGGTGGGAGTGAACAGATGTCTAACTGCGCTGAGGAGATGAATCCCATCAAGAGGGATGTGTACAGCTGGACTCAACATTGGCGGCATATACTTCGCAGGAGAACGCTTGGCTCTGGGAAGGTCAAAATAGAAAATTCATACTTGCGACCTGGTCCAGGGAAAAAGCCATCGAAAGCCATGCTAATAATCAAATGTTGGTTGGATCAGGTGGCTAAACCTAAGCCCTTGATGGAGCAGCAACCCGCCCCTGTCACACCAGTTCTAACAGGCACGATCTGCTCTTAATGTTTGTGTTCGTTATCTTCATGACATGTCTACTTTTCTCTCTCCACTGAATATAGAGACAGTATGCTGTTGTATGTATGCTATTCTACTGTGTTGACGTAGTTCGCCGTTCAGCATCATCAATGTTGTGAGGTCTAAGCTCTCTTGTTTCACCGCACTTCGGTGCGATCTACCAGCGAGAATTTGGTGCCTCTCTATTTACAGGGCGTAATGGTCAGTCTCGGAAGAAACCTGCATTAGGTTATCGGTTATCTGAATAGTTCCATGGTTACTAACCTTGGTGGTCATGTCAACAGGTCATGCTGAATCAGACGTAGGAGAGAAAGGGGTCGACGGCGGATCCAGTCCAGTTAGATCACCTAAGAATGAGTTAATCCCTTTCAAAGGGAGGGAGCTCTTTTCATCTGTGTTGGATACTGCAGAGGAGGCAGATGCATATTTGTCATCGATTGAACAAATGTTGCAAGATTGCCTACAAAGCGACTCTGGGGATCTGCTGGTATTTGTCAAAGGAATCATGTCTAATGGAATCAAGGCACAGAGTATTCTTCTCTACAGAAACCAAAGTATGGGACTGGTACGACCCTTGAGTGAAAACATACAGCAAATCAAGGATGAGTACATGTTAGTACACGGCAATGGTCAGGGGATTTCAAAGAAAACGGACATTTTGAAACCATTCAACTCTGTCTCTAGCTGCAACTTACCAAGAGTTGAGAAAGCTGAGCACAGAAGTGAAATTAATAGTTCAACTATGCATGACATGTTGTGTTCTGCCTCCGGAGTGATGAATTGTGCCATGCCTGTCAGCAACAGCGTTGATTTTGGAGGAGCGTCAGATGGTGCAGACTGTACAGCAGATAGTAAAGCCTACGTAGGGAAGACGGGCTTGGCACTATGCGTTGCTGGCAGTAGAAACTATCACGAGCCACCGAATGAGTCTCAAATCGTATTAAACTTAGCGCCCCCATGTGATACGGTTGCCAACCAGCTGATGGATAAGCTGCTGTTGAAACCGAAGAAATTGGCTAGAAAATTCACTGACTGCGATTCTAGCAATGCGAACGGCGCGCACATTCGTAAGGAGAAGCTTAGGGCCTATGAATTGCAAATCTTATTCCGAATGGAAATGATTGAGCGTGATTGGGGTCGGCCTTCAGACAAGGAAAAGTCCAGAATCGTGAAGGAAATATGCAGGCTCTTGGATGACATCCAATTTGACTTGGGAGGTGGTGTTTTTGGTGGTGAGAGTCTACACGATTACAGTATTCGAGTAATGTACAACAGGTAACTGAGTTCTTGGCATGAAAACCGCGTACATGAGACAATCGATGGTTTTCATTGTTGTTCCTTGTAAGTTTATTTCCCGTATTGTCGGAACTGAACAAGAAGCGTCTGACTCTTCGGTTGAGGATCGGGCCACGTAGTCTGATGGTGTATCGTAATCAGTTTTAGTTTTTGGAAATTTCTGATTTGCGGTTGTTTGTGCTCCTTCATGTTAAGGTACAAGGAGAGCCTCCCTCAGACAATAGCGGACATTTTTGAGAGAATGGAGTTTAATGGGTATATGGAGGGCGTATCTGATTTGCAACTGGTTCCTGCAGACTCGGTAAGTTCTGAGACCTAGAAAGAGTTTTTACGTTGATTCATAGATTAAGAAAATTGTGTATTTATTATTCAGTACTGCCTCTATTATTTCAGGACTCGAGAAACAGGACGTGCAAGTGCTGATCACATATCATCTAATGTAGATATATACAAGTGTTGATATCATTTCAATTGTCCCGCAGTACGAAAGTGTTATTTTGGCATTTTAACACGTGCCTGAAGTGTTGTATCAATGATGTCTCGTCATTTGTAGATTGTACAGGTAGGAATTCACGACCAAAAAGACTCAGAAGGAGTAGAGATTACGGATCAGTTCGCAACAACTGATACAGTCACCGGATTGATTATTCCTGATGTACAATCCTTGGTAGAAAAAGATCAAAGTGATTTCACTCGCACATCAAGCAAAGGTCAGTACCCTCTGACTATTATTCAGCGGATTCCATTAGTGTCTGGAAACTCGAATTTATGAAATTGTTTAATACATAGCTCTTAGGTTGTCAATTTGTGGGTAGGATGTCTTGTTTCTGCTGAGAGTCCTCACTTTTCGAATTTGGAACAGTTTTATGGCATCATATAATAGTTTGATATTGCATTGTATTTCTTGCTTTTTAAAAAGTTTCTTTTTTTAACCAGTACCCTTGCTTGATGATAGAAAGCTCGCAACTCACGCTCTTCCAAAGAGGAACTTGGTTACCATGCGTTTCATGTCTTGTTTTGATATTGATGTTGTACTTCAATCCAGGTCCGATCAAAAAACGGCGCAAACGTTCTACCCCTATGGACGCCTTCACCCGGGCTAGTGAGAAACGAAAACTGGCCAGCAGGCTCGCCCACTTTGGAGGTCCAGATTCTCTTTCTAGGTTAAAGAAGATCAAACTTCATAACCAACCATCTAGAGCACCTAAGGTCAATAGCCCTTCGAATGATAAGGTGCAATCAAGAGAACGTAATGTGGTGCTTGAGACTCCAAGGTTCGAACGCCAGAAGGAGAGGGAGGAAAGGATTGATGAAGAAGGTGTCGAGTCCATTTCCACGCGACCTTTAACATCGACGTTTGGATTCGGGACGCCGGCAAGAGTATCCAAATGTGTACAGTCGACAACAAGAAAGAGACGACTGGCCTTATTCACTCAAAAAAAACCTCCAGGAAGAGGTTTGCCGCGGATACCACCGGATGTTATGATGGCCATGGCTGAAGATGGAACCTTGCATCATTCTAATAAATCAGATCATCAACGTGTCTCGGAGTTTCGAGCACAAAACGATTGTAACGAGGGTTCAGGTTCCTTGTACATGTCACAAACTTCCCACGAACAGGGTTTGCTAGACTCTATGAACAAGGGGCAGTTGCCAGTGGATACCCGGGAAGATTCGGGAGCAACGACATTTGACCCTGCAGACTTGACGGGATGGGTCTTAAGACCACAGTGTGATCGAAGCAGGCCAGCAAAGAACGGTAGGTCTCTCAATGAAAGGCTCTCTGGTCCGTGTATTCAAATGTAGCTAGCCAGATGGAAAGATATCTTCGAGTACCTGTGTGTATGGAATCAGAGGCTGTAGGCAGCTACTACTATCGCACTCGAAGTTATGAACATTACCTGGTATGAGTGTATTGAGCAAAAATGGTGTATGCAACGTTTAATTCTAGAATCCCCGACCATTCCTTGGTTAATTTCCATTTCCATGCGCAGATAGGTATCGTCATAATTCATGAACTAACCTTGTATGTATGTGTCTCTGGAGACGCAGTTCCAGGAATTTTAGGATGTGCAGGATCAGAGACTCTTGACTCCGCAGGACAGGCGTTATCAATCTCTAAAATAAATGAAGAAAACAGCTGCCAAGCTGCATGTGCTACCCCTGCAGAGGCGGCCGTGAACTATCAAGTTAATGATATAAAACATGCTACATCGGCTGATACCAGATCCGTCCCATCCAGGAGAAATAGACGCAAATCACTGTACACTTCTAAGTCAAGAAAACCAGATGATTTAGCAGTCTTCTCACAGGCTCCTAATTCTCCAACTGGTACTCAAACATTGTCTCTTCAAATCAAGGAACGTAACTCCCCTCGAACTGGGCATGCTACCCAAGATCTAGAAAGAACAGCACAACCATTACGGAAAGCTGATGGTTCTCAGTCGATTGATTTGGCCAGCTCAGAGAACAGGTGGAACATCGAGGATATTTCCTTGTCGTCGCCCACGGAGGAACCAATGAACTGTGTGTCTGGTTTCAAATCTGCTCAGGGCATGGAGGAGGAGACGGAAGTTGCTGAGGTAGCTGAGGAAACCGAGGTGAACAGTTTAAGTTGTAGGGTTGAAAATAAGCATGGGTTTTTACGTGCATCTCATTCTGAGGAGCTTACGTCCAGTTCGTTACCTACGGCTTCCTTTACCAACTGTTCTGAACTGGATGGTGACACTGAGGTTCTATTGCAGACGCAGATTGTAGAAGAGGTCTGGAACCATGAATGTCCAACAGTTTCTAATCTTAGAACTAGTTCTTCTACAAGAATCCCTGATGAGGTAATGCTCTGCTTATCGCCGTCGAAGTCGCTAAACACTTGGGATGTGCCATGTACGGATCTTAGCAAATCTCCGAATTCCGAGCAAGTGGTTCGGACTGGCGCTTCACGAATGTCACCTTCACCTACCAAGTCAGATAGCTTGAGAATTCGGAGCCGGCACGCAGGGTCGCCCTTACTAATCAATCGAACCTCTAAAGTCTGCCGCATTCTATCCTCACCACTGGCTCATAAGCCGGCAATTGAGGATGACTTGAAATCATTGAAAACTTCTGACCTTTCTTCAGAAGACCTAACTGGGGACCTTGATTTTTCTCAAGTTATCAACGAAATTTTCCAGTCTACGAAGGGCACTGAGCGAAAGTGTGTTGATGAGCAGCAAGAACTTACTGTTCATGAGGACGTTGATTGGCTCGATGATTTGCCAGAGCTTAATGGAGTTTGGAGTCCGATACCACGGTTGAAACCAGAAGCAAGGATAGGCACCAGCTATCCTACATCCCTCCAACGGAAAAAAGTGGAACTTGACGAGGATCCAAGTGCAATTATTGCAGGCGGGAGCCCGATCAAGTTCTCTTCACCAACATTGAATAAAAAGTTTAGCCGTTCTTCAGTAGGTAAGTCCGCAGCGTTTGTTCGTCATTTCCAAAGTGGCGTTCCACCCCGAGTTGTGTCCACATCTAAAGGAGCTCTTCTTGATAATGTTCTCTTCCCCTTGTCATGAGGACGTAATAGCCTGATTGGACCTTTGTCACAAGCAGAGGTGATCAATGCGACAAATGTCATTCTGAGCTTCGTTACTTTTAAAATTACCTTAAATTTAAAATTGCCAACTGAATAGCCCAGCTTACATCATGCTTACTTGGGGCATTGGACTTATCGCATGCAGAATCTCCAGGACAGTACATGCTGTCTCCTGATGCTGTAGGAAACTCCAAGAAAAGACTTCGGAGCACCACTGCTTCTCCCAAACAGAGCAATGCTAAAATGCTAAGATTCTCTTAGAAGGAGCGTCACCCTACGTTTACCATCACCTAATCTAAACTTCAATCGTGATTCAACATGTCAAGGTGATTTTTTCTACTTGTAGACAGCAACGGCTCGTCTGATGTGTACACTTGTTTAGGAAGGTGATATGTTTTCTAAATTCCAAACGACATGATTGAAATTTCCGAATTTTACTGTGGCAGGAGATGAACAGAGTGCTTACTGTACAGGTAGGGTTTCTCGATGGTGTACATTTCAGCTGTATCCTTGTCAGTCGCTGATAAGTTGAAAGAATTCCGTCTGCCGAACCATTAGGACGCACTGTGTCAGCTGGAAGTTTTTTCAGATCATCGAGACGCTAGAATTCTGAAGGTGAGCGTCGTATGCTTCGTCCCTACCAAGCAGTGACCCCACCTCCACGTGATCACGAAGCAACTTCAAGCTGCAGAATTTGTTCATTTCCAACTTCTTTATCATAGATATGACATGTGGTCATCAGAAAGTGAATCGATAGCTTTTTGCAACACGATCTCTGTGGGTTGCAATTGCCTCATGTAAAGCTTTTGCGGCTCCATATCAACGAGATGGTGCCAGCAGTTTAGGGTCCCTATCCACAGCACTTTCGGGGTGCAATTCTACGTTGGAACACATCATGTATCAATTCCCATTGTATTCCAACTATTCAATCATTTCTGTTTTCATACAGATCTTTGTACTCAATCCTAATCTTTCTGTGATAGAGCGTGTGATTACAGGAAACTGAGTGTTAAAAATGTGCTGTCCATGCTTGGCAATGGTGATGAATTGGTTCAAGATAACATTTACATATGGATCTGTGTGAAAATGATTATGAAAGAGCTTACATTCAACCATTAAACGTAAGCGTTTGACACCACCAGAAGTTCTACCATGGGACTTTAAAACTGAGATTTTATTGATACTATTTGAAGTAAGAAATAGCATTTTAATAAGACAGAATTAACAATCAACTGTATATTTGCGAACAAGTATGAACTTATCTGCTTAATCAACAAACATATAGCGAATGTTATTGTGTTTCTTCATTACTTATTGATTAAAATGCAATTTAACAAATATTTTAATATATTCTGGCATGTTCAGCATTCATAGGTTTAGGATTTTGAATTTATTAATTAAGTATCATAAGTTCATAACAGTTGGGTGATTAGGTAATGTTGATGATCCAGAATTCTATTGAAGAATCAATAAATGCACATCTTTTTCCTTTTAATTTTAAACATAATGAAAAAAACATCACAGCATCATGGAGTAGAGAGTCCTTGATGCGGTTAATGTGATCTTAAAACATTGATCAAATTATTAGAATGTAATAAAAGGTAAATATATATATATATATATATATATATATATATATGAAAGTAAAGGATGAGTAAGTTCTAAAGTCGTATAAAATATTATATATATATATATATATATATAGGTTTTTTTTCTTTTTTTTTTTCTTCTAATTGTTGTATAATCTTTTCCACAACTTCCTATCTTTGGCTTCAGAATGGTTTTAGAACTTAGGTTCAAATTCCATGTGAGTCATTTTTTAATTATTCAGTATTTTTATAAAACATTAGAAAAAATTGTATGAACCTATAAATATATTGTAACAAACTTGCCATATTAAAAAACTTTACACCCACATGTATGTACACAAATATTTATTATATATACATACATATTTATAACATTTTTACTAATAAAAGTTATTAAAATAGTCCAAGACTTGCATAATAAATACTATTTTTCTTGTAATCATTCTAGTAGATTACAAATATTTGGATTTAGAGAAACATATTTTATTTGCTATAAGAGATATTATATATGTTAAAATAAAATAACTTGATATATTTTAATTTTTATTTAATAGCATCATTGTCTACTTTCACAAATATTATAAGTTAATTTTTAGTCTTTTAGCTTGTTTAAACTATTGCACCATTCAATATCAAATAATAAAAATTTAATATTGTATAATATATTAATATAAAATATCAAATATTATTGATAATTTTTTTTAACTTTTAAAATCCAACTAGTTTTGCTAATTTATTGGCATGTAATGCAAACATAAAAATCTACTATATTTATAAGAGCATGTATGTTTTATGATTATATTATATGGTTGTTATAAGTAAATTTCTTTGGTGGACAAGTCTTTATGCTCTACTTGTGGATGATAACCACTCAAACAAAATTCCATCCACAAATTGAAATTTAAGGATAAGACTTTGCATATAGATTATTACCGGCCAACTCTCTAGATAACAAGCCATGCATAAAACCTTTCTTCTATTGATTGATTTTTTTCTCACCCAATTTAATAAGTATTAACTATACTTTGCAAGGGAGTAGCATGCTTTAAAACTTGGTAGATCAAGAGCTTCACCTTTCATGGTGCTAGCAATTATATAAGCAAGTTGACAAGAAATATTTTTTTAAAAAAATTCTTCCACCCATTTTTAGGCCAATATGCTACATTCATGCCTCTTTTGCTCTAGGACATTGAGCTAATTTAAAATTTCAATATCTACCCATTTGCTTGAAGTCTTTGAACTAAATGAATATATTTTTTTTTATTTAAATTTATTATCTCAAGTACATAGTCTAGGAGTGGATTTGTCCAAGCATAATCTAATGGCTAAATAAAATGCATGCATTGAATAGAATTGTTTTTTACTTTATTAATTATTTGTAAACAAAACATAATTAATCATGCTAATATATATATATATATATATATATATATATATTTTATCTTTAATCATTTACATATTATTTTTTTATTTTTTGTTGCAATAGTATTTTATTAAATTACTATTAAAACATAAAAAAATATTTTTTGATGCACGATAATTTTAAAAGAAAAAATTAATTAATGAAGAAATAAGTTTTTAAAAATTTCAATCAAGTATTTTTATTCTTTTAATTTTTTTACAATACCTTGTAAAGAATTAATGAAATACCTATATTAAATTTAAGAATATATATTGTACTGATAAGATTTGCATTGACACTCAAAACATCAACAAGGTAATAATAAGTTTCTAAAGTTCCATTTTTTTCAAAATATTTTTAAATATTTTTAAAATTCTATTATAAAATTTTAAAAAATAAACAAATAAAAGTCAAAGTTGTGGTATAAACTTTTTGTTGACAAAAATGCTTATTGGCATATTTTTAAACTTTTAAAGTTTAGCATAGATAAATCTTAATTCTACCGACCTTTGCAAATTTTTGTAGCTTGATTATTTTTGTGGCAATGTTTTGTAAAATTAAAAAAATAAAATGTTAGAGTAGAGTGAATATGTGGGGTGGTTAAGATGGCTTGGGTGGATCTTTTCTTAGAACCATGCCATAGTAATTTTTCTTCTTCATCCATAAATAGAGTTGTGGCAATTTTAACAAAGTTTTTAAATGCTTACTCTTGCCCTTTCACCCTTGCTCATCCTTGCCGACAATGATTGATCCTAACTTAGGGCCAAGAGAAGCAAAGTCCAAAAGGACTAAGACAAAGATTAAAGAGAGAGGATTAGGGAGAAGCAATTCAGCACTAAGAGAATCTACAGAGTTTTAAATCTAGTGCACCAACTTTTCAAAATGCTCACATTGGTCTCTAGTCTTACACTATTTATATTAATGTGGATACTTCTCAATTTTATATCTATGGTAAAACCAAGATTGGTACACAGATGGATGAAAGTTTGTAATAAAAGTCCTCTTCTAGGGGTGATTTTGCTAGAAGGGGTCAAGACTTGCTATAAAGATGGAAAGAACAAATATGGGTCAATTTAAGATTTACTTAGGTTGATTTAACATTCTCCTTATTTTATTGCATTGATGATTATACGTATAATTTTAGGCACGAATATTCCAATACCTCTCCTTAACTATTTTGGTATCTTGGAGTTGGTTGTTAGTTTCTTTGAGAATATAAATTATTTAATCACAACTAATCCTCTTTTTTTCTACTCATTCACTCCCAAACAGCCACTATTGAACTATGAAGGATACCAAAATATGCGGGATACCAAAATAGTCAAGGAAATACCCAAATATCTACTCCGTTCATTTTTTATACTTTACTTACTAACTTGTTTTGTTTGATCAATGATGCAAATAATTTCATATTTCTACTACTAATAGACTAGTGAAAAACTGCATGAATGAAGTACAATATACAAGATTTTATTCCATATCTCGCACTTCTATCATGTGAAGAAGTGCAATCTCCCCAATTTCAATTTTACCAGTTTCAAATGAAAATCTAAATTTGTGGGCTACAGAATCTTGTCCTGAAACTGAAGGACAAGTGGATTGCAATTCCACAATGGCAGCAAGTATACGATGGCAAACAACTCTGTACTTCAATTTCAGAGTTCATAACTCTTATATTTAAAGTAATGAAAAATGCATTGCCAATCCGAGGTCAAGCCAACTTCAGAACATCAAGAACAAAAGTGAGCCACGGAGCCACACAAATAGATATATATATATATATATATTTATTAGTGCCCTTATTCGACAACGGAGGGAAGCACATGAATGCCTGCTGTGGAGGATATCCTTTGCACCCTCGAAACCCCAACATCACTTCGTTACTTCCTCACAAGTTAGAGAAGATGTACTATTCCTAATGGCCAGTTTGAGACCATGTTCGCCCCCACCAAGCTTTAAAATCTAGGGTGTAAGCTTAAAACTTTGTGGGCAGCACAAGTGTCGCTTTCTTGACAAGTTGAATCGAAAAGCAAGCTTGCAGCACAGGAGCATTCTTTGCTGCAAAACGGCGCTCAAAACATCAAAAATGTGCTTTGAGATGGAAACGCCCAGGTCTCACAGAAAAGATCCGAAGTTGTCCAAATAGATAGAATGCCAGATGGTTTCCGGAATGAATTCAAGGGGGTGTGATTTGTTTCCCCAGTTTAACCCAGTGCCATTTTTTCCCTCGGATCCATTTGTCGCTCGAATCCGTGTGACCAAGTTTGCTGAGCACCGCCTTGGTCTCACGCAACCTCACCTTGAAGTCTTTCTTCCACGCATCGAATCTAGTTTTGAGTTTTCGGAGCTCGTCTTCAGGACTCAAATGCGCCGTAGTCTGACCAGACTTCACTTCCACAAGGAAGTCGATGTCGTCGGTGAAAACTTGCTTCCGATGGTCGAATTCTCGGTCCAATTGGGTTACATATGAATGCCCAGCAGCCACCTCACCCTGGCTCGAGCCAAGTTCAGATCCTGCATGCAAGAACTTGTTGGAATTGTTTTCTACATTCTCCGGAACTTTCGCCGCTTCGTCATCCAGATCTTGTATAACTTTGTGAAATTTCTCTTCCTCAGTAGGAAGCAGAGGCCGAGTGTTACGGTTGTGTTTCCCAGCTACAGTCTTTTGGTCCTCAGAGCCATCTTTAGAAGAAGTCTGCAAGGTGGCGCTCTCTTCAGTGGCAATACTCTTCTTTGCAGCTGCTAAGCTTAGCTGCAATGTAGACATCTGCTTTTGCCACATCTCCTCCATAGATGACATCTTGGCTTCATATTCCACCCATTGATTCTCGTAGTGTTGGATCCTCTGTCGCAGTAGCGCGTTGTCTTCCTCTTTCTCTAGAAGGGTTCTCTCCGCAATCACCGCCCTCTGTTGCAGCTCCAAAATGTGAGAAGGTCTCACCCTGATGGTTGATTCATTCTGTTCCTGTACACAAGCAGGCACTTAAATGTAAGAAATAAACATATCAAAAATAATTTCCATGTTCAACGAGTACATGGCTGGTCACAGAAATAGTAGAAGACAAGACAAGAAGGATTTGCCTCAGATTCAGGAGGTTTCGTTGTAATCGTTTCACATATCTCCTTGATGCTTTCTTGCTCTTCATCAGCTGATCCAGTACCCTCCTCCGCTTGTCGCCTCATCCTGACTTCTTCTTGTAAGACGGCTTCGATACGTACTTTTTCCTCGGCTGCCTCTTTTTCCTGAATCTCGGCAGCCAATTGTAACTCAGACGCCCTCTTCTCCTCGGCCAACTTTCTTTCTACGGCTCTCTTCTCCTCGGCCTCTTTCTGGAGGTCGTTTAACTGTCCCTTGGCCAACGACATGCGCACCACTACAACGTCCAAATAGGTATTAGAAGATGAACAAACCGAATTAAGTTTTCTATCAGAAACTGCAAACTCGTGGGTTGGGTTAACTAAAATTAAGGAAATGATTCGGTTAACCATTGGTACCTGATTGGATCAGGATAACCTTCTCCTTCTTAGCTTGATATGCACAACGTGCAATCCACCCCCGGACATTCTTTTGAATGAACACAACTGCTCTGTGCCGTTCTTTTCTTTTCTCGAAATGTCTTCTTGCTATAGCCGCTCTTACCACTACACACGCAGAAAGTCTTCAGTAAACACGTTCACGTCATTCAGAAATACGCTGTGCTCTGTAGCGAGTATACTCAAAACGATTTAAATTAATATAGACTAACGCATGCATAAAAATCTTCAGCAAGCCAATAATTGTGTCAAGAAGAAACCATAGCTCATCAAAAAAAATACAGTGAAAAGATAGTCTTTGCGACGAAAGGTCTAAAAGGTTGCACACTCACAGGATTGCAAGAAAACTACTGCCTTGCGCTTCTTTTTGTACTCACGTCGAACCTTGTACCCTTTGTACACAGCTTGGGCTCGGTCAATACTGCGGAGAGTTCTTACTCTCACATCCTCCAGCATTCCAATCTGCGGGACAAAATATTGCAAACAGAATTCAGCATCAAACAATCGAAAGATGCAACGATTAAGCTTCCAAAACAGCTTCAGCTCTGTAAAAAGTTCCAACACAGAAAGTGGAAGGCGTATTTAGGAAGCATCGATATTGTAAAGGATGTGCATCAGAAAACATAGTCAGTTTGTGCAATAAAGTCACTTATGGTAATACCCCCAATGCGACTGAAGAGTTATGTATCGAAAAAGAATTACCTGTCCAGCGCGGAAAAATAATTTGGTAATACCAACTTGATACATTTCGGAAGTGATAAACTTCCTGAAATGCTCAAGAATAGCCACGCATACGCTCAACACATCCTCTTGTTCAGAGACGTCTCTTGGAAGGAGGAAAGCATATCTACAATGCAACAAAGGCAATGCTATCATCTTTTACTACCCACGTTTGAAACCACAGATGCACATCCACGACTGCAATAGAGAGAAAATTAAATTTTCCAGCTTTTTTTTTTTTTTTTTTTTTTTTTTTTTTTTTTCTTTTCATTCTCAGGTAAGGAACGCACTCTATCCAGTCTAACTCCAGATAAACTCTACCTCGTATACTTGTGAATCATTATGGACAAGGTAGAAATAAAATAATCTCAACTAACACATAAAACAACACTTCAAATCTGAGGCATTACGAGGTTCAAAGTTGGGACTCGTATCAACCTGCTCGCAAATTCATTATGAGTATACCGAGTTGGGTAACCAGAGCGAGAGATGCGGACCACCTCCAGGACTCCACAACAACGAAGCTGCTGCAGGACCAGTTTCTGGTCGATGACATTTGGAAGCTGCTGGGTATTTGGTTTGATGCACCGTATAAAATGAGGTTCAGTGGCCTCCAATCTTTGCAGAAGCTTGTTCAATTGGCCCTGTAATTACATAAGTTGCTGTTACAAATCATGGTTTACTTTCCTATTACAAGAAACCTAACACAATACAGAAACCCATAAAGTTCTGGCAAGTGTAGTGTAAGAAGCAGCAAACCTTGAACTTGGATGCAACACTTTGCTTTTGATATTCTGAGCCATTGGACTTTCCAGACCCTTGACCAGCAGATGCTAGAAAATCAAAAATCAACGCACAATCACATGACTCCAGAAGCTCCACCAGGTCTGCATGTAGTAAGTCTCTATTCTTCTCAAGAAACCCATCCGCCTCATAGAGCACCTAAAAACATATCACGACATTAAAACGCTCAATAAGATCCACAAGAGCCTATTGATAAAATAGAGTGCCAGCATCAAATCTAAAGCCCCACCATTGAACTTGAAATCACTGGAAACCTGTGTAGAACTCAATACCTCGAAACTTCGAAATTAGACTAAGTGTTCAAAAGCGTCCTACCTCTCCAGCATAGTGGTAAACACGAAATTTTTTGTCCCGCTCCCCTCTGAAAGAAGCATTTTTTTTCAGATGATCCTTCAACTTATTCGCCAGCGTAAAATCAGTTGCTCGTGGAAACATACACTCCTCATCAAGTAACGATATTAATCCCACAGGTCTCTGCAAAGTCGTGAGCCAAAATATTAACATTTCAGTTCAGTGGCTTATAGTTAGAAGATAAACACCAAAGAGTCCCACACAGCATGTTGATGTTTCAAAAATTAAGTGAAGAATATTGAAAATCTAGCTATATATATGGTTGTGGAGTTTATAGCCGTGATACTAAATAAACAATCGCGAGGAGCAATTTCTTCCAAAGTTGATAAGATGAAAACTCACCTTCTCGATAAGATCAAGGCATTGTTGATTGTCTTGAAATTCTATTCTGGTCCAATCAATATCTTCAGAAGTATATTCCTAAATAATTATCACAAGAAGCCATAAGATGTGAACATTTAGAATCCGTTAGAAAACGGTCGCCGCAGTAAGTAAGAGAAAAGCAAGAGCTGTCCTCACCCAAATCCAATGTAACGTGCTTGACGTAAATAAAAAGAAAAGCCAGCTATATTTACCAACATATCTAAGTTCCCTTTAAACGTACTTCTTGTTCGAGCTTAAAAAGATGACGGTTGAAATGCTGCTGCAGCCTCTCATTTGCATAGTTTATACACAGTTGCTCAAAACTATTTCTCTGCAAAGACCGACACAAGAATCAAGATACGTTAGCTTGCAATCTGCAAAACTGTGCAAGATCAAAAGATGGTTTTAACATCAAAAAAGCTCGACAAGAGTCCAATACAGCAAACCGTGGGAAGTCGGGGTCGAAACACCAATGACACTAATGCCAAATGGTTGTGTTAGAATTTTGAATGCATTGGAAGGAGCGAAGAAAAATTACCTTGAAAGTTTCAAATCCATAGATATCCAGAATGCTGATTGATCTTCCAGTTCGCAACTTGCCAGCTTCCAGTGATTTGTTTACACGTTCAACCAGCCAATCAAACAAGTAGGAGTAAATTGCTTTAGCAAGCGCATCTCTTGAGTCAGTTGCCTGGAACGAAACATGAGTAAGAATGGCGTATTTAAAAAGACATTGTCATCCTGCACTTAAAGAAAATTCAAGCTATACTGAATTAGCATTAACATTTCGACTGTAGTGCACGATCCCAACCAAAGCTTAAAGCACATTCCAAACTAACACTACTAAAGCAGAACCCTGAAATCTCGCCCAATTAAAACAAGAAAGATAAGTACCTGAGAAAGTGTCAGTCTCTGTACAATAGTATCACCCCCTGCACGGATCCTCCGACTGTATAATGCTGTTACAAGTTTATCAACCTCGCAACCCAACAAGGCTGCTGCTATTTCCACAGCTGCTTACAGATTTACCAAAAGTTAGAACTTCGTAAAACACTGCAAAATCGTTTGCATCATCATCCTTCAGAACCAACTACTCACAGGACATAGTAATAGTAGGTGCTTCTCGGCAATGAAGGTGCTTCTCGAAAACATGATGGGTAAAGATGACCTATCCAGATTAATATGAACATGAACCAACTACACAGTCCTATGAAGTCATTCATGCCAAATAATATCCCCAAACACCCATAACAGATCTACTGCTTGAATACTCACTGTACCTCTTTGGATTCCGTAGGCCTCAATCACGTAGAACCTCCTCAACTAAAATCATATTTGAAAAAATAGATTGCTCTATTTTCTAAACACGATGCTGAAACTGTGACCGGTATTCAGATACCAAAATGGATGGCAACAAACTAGAATATGTTTCCAAGTGGTTTACAAGGTAAAAAAAAGGACCTTCATTGTCCACAACCACGACATGATTATCAGGCTCTGAAACGCGAAACACAATATTTCCAAGCCATAGGACGGCGGAGAGCAGTTCAAAAACTTTCTGCTGATCTTCTTTACAAATTTGCACCACGTTCATGGCTTTCTGCAAAAAACAACCCAGCAATACACCTTGATATGGGCATTCTAAGAATAATAAAATGAATTTACTGGAATACTTGGTTGCATTAAACTCTAACTTGTAGCTTGACAATTCATGGCAAAAGGATTCTCTAGCTGGACAAAAGAAAACCAATTGCTGGTATTATGTGGGACATGCAAGTTTCAGCTGTAGACAGCACGCACCCTCAAACGTTGGAATTGCTCCGCATCATCAACATTATCGATAGACATACAGCTACTTTGGCTTAGATACCGATACTCCTTGGCGGATCTTAGTCTTAGAAGATCTGCTCAAAAATCACATAAGGTTACAAATTCCAGCATCAGTTAATGGAGGAGACTAGGCAATCAACTATGGATATAATAAATTTGTAATTAGAAAATTGAAAGGACACCGAGACACAGCAAGAAAACGTCCTACCTCGTAAAGATTCATCAGCTCCAGCACACAGTTGATAAAAAACGTGATATGACCTTTCACCTTCTGCTTGCTGTACGACTCTCGACTACAAACGAAAGAAGTTGCACCACTTAGCAATCATGGATAAAAGATAAGAAATGATAAACGGTTTCGTTTGATGTCAACATCCCACCCCCTATCTCCAAAAATACACACAAAAAAATTGCCCACAAAATCATAGAATTCAATTTTGGACCAACCATAGAAGTACTGTAAGAAAGTGCTTACCTTCTCAAGCAAATCTTCTCAACCAGAGATAGTATCACAGGTCCAACGCGACATCAACCAAAGAAATTAAGGTAAGAAGCTTGATATGGTGGAGAACGTCATAAAATTAAAGCTTGGCGTTCAGAAGCAGAAGTTCATTGTGAGCAAACCAAAAATAAAAGAATAAAAATAACACACTTTGGATCCTTACATGTTTCAATAATTGCTCCACATATTTTCCCACTTTCGTCAAAATGTATGTCAATGAGCTTTCCCTGGAAAAACAGGCAATGCTATCAACAATTGCCGCTATCAAGTGCAAAATTCATGATGCAAAAGCAATCATAGTATGAACCAAGTTCAACACCCAGAAAAGTTTCGGAAGATGAAAGTAGCAATTTTTAATGTTCTTTCGTAACGATCATAAACGTCGGGACCTATTTACAATGATGTTTTCATTATTATCGAGTCACTTAGCTTGGATGATCATACACAATGTGCGTTACCAAAAGCATCAACTTACAAAGCGACTCGAATTGTCATTCTTTGAAGTTTTTGCGTTGCCGAAGGCTTCTAAGATTGGGTTGGTTTGCAAAATTTCATCTTCTATCCCACTACCTCCTCCTAGAGCAGCTAAATACTGCATGGCAATCTTTGCCGTTTCTGTTTTCCCTGCACCACTCTCACCACTGTACACAAAAAATAAGCATGTTGTTTTCATGAGATGACCATTGAAGAGAATACTAATAACTAGTGTTTAAATAAATGCAGATTCCGGCCATTCTTTAAATTAAAAAAATTGAGATTCTTCTTTGGAACAGAACAAAATGTAGAACAAAGATATACAAATTACCTGATAATAATGGACTGATTAATCCCCTCTGCAGAGACAAAAGCAATAAAAAATAATGATAAGTTATGGACCCAGACAACCACAGTGATATAAACAGTTATTAGTGTGACCGTGTAAGCTTGCATTATAACGACATTGTCATGGAAAAGGTACCCTAAGGCATTACGTGACTTTCAACCACAAAACGAGTTTCAATCCTAAAACCAATATAATTGAAAAATAATATACACCTTTCATCATTGCGCCAAAGGCACTGCCAGCTATCATATAAACATGAGGCTGAGAGCTTGCAGAAGTTCTATCCCGATAAGCTTGCATTATATCCTCTCCATATATATGAATTTTCTTGAACGGATTAACCGCAATCAATACAGGACCAGCCTTTGTCTGCAATATCCCCGGTATAATCAATATTAAATTGCAGTTTGCAAAGGTCGTGCTGGAAGATACTTACAATTATTCCCACATGGGAGTGCTAATAAACAGTAAAATATTTCGAGCAAAGACTTCTAGTTCAGCACAAGAGAGCTTGCGCATACAGACTCTTCATGATAGGAATCAGTAAAAGCCACCATCTGCAACATAGTCACAGTTAAAGGGCTTGCACTTACATATATCTGATCTTTCGAATATCGGTAATCCAAGTCATGGAGAACAGAAGGCTCGTTGAGGTAGCTCAACTTTATGAGGTCATCCACTCCCTCCAGAAAGGCGGGGTTTGCAGGTAGCAACTTTGTTACACTCACTTGAATCTCCTGTAACGCAGCATCCATTCAATCAGGAATTCAAAATTCTCTTCAATAGAGTGCTAAGCAACATAAATCAATAAATGAGAAGTTAAAAATTAAGAAATACTCGTACCTCTCGATCAGAGGTCCAGACAACAGCCTCCGCGTCTTCGACAGATATAATGGTTCCACAAATCCATATATTTTCCGAGGTCAAGCACCATACTCGCAAATTCTGCAAAATGAGGCTCATACGTGTAAGCACGATAATGATCCAGAACATTCTTATCAATTTCGATTCCTAAAAATAGCACAACATGTTCAATATCAAATCAGTATTAGCTTTAATCTCCGAGCTTGCTTCATTGAGAATTGCACTCTGCTCTTAGCAAGTCTCATTCATATTAAGATTGCTACAGATATACTGATTTTACAAGTACTTTAAAAGGAAATGATAGGTACGAGCCTGAACTGTCCGTGTACCTTTCTTAACCGTAATACTCCATCGTCGATCCATTTCCTGCTTGGTGCAGGTGAGGTAGGAGTACGAGCTGGAGATTGTAAGCTGGGAATTTGAAGCAAAGCAAGCTGTTCAGGTGGAAGGGCAGAGAAATCTGATTGCTCCACCGCAGCCCCATCATCAACAACAGACCCATTTGCAGTCCCTCTCACATCAACCAAAAGCTTGTTAGAATGCAATTCTGCTTCTTCCTCGCCCACCCTTTGCTTTCCAACCGAGATAGCAGCTGGGTTGGTCAATGAAGCTGTAATTTCTTGCGACTCCGACATTTTCGTGCAGTTCGTAGCAGTCACATTTGTCTCAAAAGCCATGTGACCATTTTGAAGTGCCTGATCATCGGGGATTACGATTGCTGGAGGATGATTAACAGGTCGTTCCTGGCATCTCTCGGGTTTGGATACCTGGTCATCATCTACATCCAAGCAATCTGTTACAGGACACAAAACTGTGTTTACAGCAGGAGCATCCACTGCAACGTCCCCCTGGACTACATCAACGGATCTTTCGCTAGACGAGATGAGCTTTACCATAGCTACAACTTGATGTTTCCTTGCACGTACAGAGGATGGTAGTCGAGCTCGAGATGCTGGCCTCACAGGAAGAGGGGGTGGCCTAGCCTCCTCTCCATTGTCCATAGATTCTTTCTCTTGCTTGTCATCCGTTCTAAATAAATCCAACATCTCTTCTAAAGTGCTCCGAGGACCGGAGCTCTTTAAAGGAAACATGGTACGAATAACCTATTTTTCTTGCCGAATTTCAAACTTTACGCATCTCCAGGTGCCTAGAAACATGCCCACGAGAGCTTTTGTCTTGGAAAACGTGAAAAGAGCGTTTACTCATCAGATGATCGGCGAGCAAGGAAAGGTACTCTATGCTTGGTGAGGGGCTTTGCTCACGGATTTAGACATTGGAGAGGCGTCTGACGATGCCCCCACACCGAGAGCGAATCAGCTGCATCCTCAACCATTGCCCAGACCACGGACCATTCATAAATGGCATCTTCTTGCTCCACAATGCACCAGTTCGGTGCACGTCTCCAGTTCCCTATTCTAATTCTCCCGGGAGGCTCATGCATGCTGCCCACCACTACCTCCCAAGTCCTGTTTGTGTTGAGAAAGCTGAAATCGCGCAAGCTCGCCCTAAATTATCACGAATTAGCTCCACTTCATCCCAAATTCGCTTCGCGCAACCTAACAGTCATGCTGCTTCCGGTCCGAGCACACAAATCCACAGCACAAATCCAATGCTCATCACAGCTCCCGAGGCTCCCCCATTCAAATCCACAGCAGTCAACTCCCAGGGGCTCCCTTGTCGGTTTAACCTAGATCTTGACCTCCCCACAACTGCACGACACTTAACACTCTCTCAACTCTCTGCACTCATCGTGGCTGACCTTACCTAGGTTCCCAAGGACCAAATTCTCGCAACTCTCTAGTTCGAAACCATTCGAGCCTCTATATTCGAGATACAACTCCAGACCACTGCCTCGGTTAACCGCAAGACGCTAAGGATCGGAAAAACGCATGCGACACGAGAGAGAAAAACAATAGGGAGCAGCCAAGGGATGGAAAACAGAAAGAGAATAGAAACTGCGAACGTAAGCCCAAGCTCGCCCTACAGTAACTCCATCATAGACCTGTTCCTCCGACGAGCGGGCATTATCCTAGGTATGATCTCAGTCACTCCGCCCATAGACATTCCCTCCACTCTCCCTCCCTCCCTCCCTCCCTGCCTCTCGGCTATCTCTTGCTTAGTCTCATCACTCCCAACTTCAAAATTTCTACCTCACTCGAGGCTGGCTTTTCTGGGTGCAGGAATTTTTTTCAGCACACTGACGTACGATTCATTTGACTCTTGGACAAACATGTTGCGCCAAAATTGTCTATTCCGGATATGTCTTATCGGGGGCACTCACTTCGAAAGTCGGGAATTTAACCGGCGTGAGTGTACGAGGCTGCCATGCGGCGACTAATCACAGCCGTGCGCCTCGATGACATCTTTTCGAGAGTCGCGCCTGTGGACCTCGGAGCAGCAACACCGAATGCTCCTACAACAATGCTCTTGGTGTGCACGGCGTACGTCTCCACAAGCACACCATCATGATGGAAACCTACGCATTATCCTGCACTGGGCAACGCAATTCCTACAGCCAGCCAGCCCAGAGAGAAAGCGAGTCCGGGAAAGGGAAGGAAGACGGATTTCACTGTGCAGACGACGATGGGTGGCTATGGCGTGAAGGACTGACTGTTTGAAATCCACTCCGGACTCCCTTTCAGTTTGAAAATTCACGGCTGTCTTCATGCTCTTCTGACTGGGCACTTTCGGCATGAGCCAAAGTGAGGGATTTATTATTAATATAGCTCCCCGCCTTCGCTGTGCCGCCTCACCGCCCTCTTCCTGCTCTGCCCGGTCACGGGGAAACCCCTTTCCCGCCCCGCCCCCCCACGACCACGCTCCCGGATATAGGACCCCACTATGGATGAATGTACGAGCGTATCACATTCGTTCAAATATGGGCTTCGAAACTACATGTGAATGAGGTGTGGTTCGTTGATTTGGATTTGTTATTAAAAGGTCATGGCACTTATAATACTTGCAATCTAAGGCAATAGTAATAATATAATGCATATGTGTATATGTAATTAGTTCATTCATCCCCATTGGGTTTCTTGTTTGATGAGGCCAAAAATGTATATTTTTATGTGTAAATAAAATAGTATATATTTATATATATATATAAGAAATTATTGAATTGATACAAGTATTCATTAAATTGATCCACCCATCATCACAAAATTCTCCACTACTCAATCCACATTAGTCAAAAACCAATGAAAAAAATGGTTGGATCCTCAACCAAGGGTGGATTTAGTAAATGCATGGGTTTTTTTAACAATTCCCATATATATCTCAAAACAGGGTGAAGAAAAAAGAATTAAAAGAAAAGAAAAAAGGGAAAAAAAGGAGAGGAATAATCTACTGTCAAACCTCACTGCTGATATTTTTATTTGCCACACTTTAAGCAATATCTTGTAATTCATTGATTATTATCTTGAAAATATATACGTTGAAGACTGTGACTATCCTTCACAATATTGCATTGAATACATAAGATCAAATATCATTACAATAGTATTATTTGATACTGATGTAAAAAACAAATAACTCGTTATTTGGAAAAAAGTGTTGAATAAAATTCCCAACGCATGTTACCTCATAAATAAATTGTTCTTCAATTGTGACAATTATAATATACTTTAGTAGAAGTGTTTTGCAAACTTTTTAAGTCGAAAAATTCAAATTCAAATGATGCTTCTAGATTTAAATTTCAAAAAAATTACAGTTATTCTTCTGCAGGGAATCAGTTCTCTCAAACGGATTCTTAACTGGTTTGGTCCAGATGCTTCGTGATTCAACAAGGGTTATCTACTGAGTCAACCCCATTCATTAAGATGACTTTGTGTTGGTTTCCCAACCCCTTAATGTCTGAGATTGTTCCTCTGATGAATATACCTTTCAAAAGACACGTCATAAAACAGTACAGCCAAACACATACCCATATGTTAGAAAAATACATTTAAAAACATGTGGACTTTCGGACGAAACATTTGTGATTGGTTTGAAGTTAATATACACTTCAAATCCACAGTAAATGAGTTACACATGACAGTAAATTACTGGATGCTACAAATGTTCGGTAAGAGGAAGACTAGGGAAATAGAGTAAAAAAATGTAATGCAAATCTATGCCGCAGTGACAAGCTTGAACCACTTCCACTAAAGAATGGGAGTTGATCTGAACATCTTACTGTGATGCTCGTTACGGCATTACAACTGCCTTCCAATTCTGTTCCCATTTCACAGGACCATTAGCACTCAAGAAAAAAATCAGCTACAATGTCGTTTCTTCCCCTCTTATGATATGTCTATTCATGAATGCAGAAAAAATTTGCTGCTCGGTCTACGCGTTTCTTTCTTCTTTCTTTTCTGTTTGTTTGTTTTACAAAAGTGTGAGGGTCAAATTCATCAGGCTGGTCAAGACTTGCCATGAATTCATGTCGCTGCGATTCATGCTTGGAGCACCGTTCTCTCGCAATTCTTTGACAATCCCTACCGCTCCTCTTACTTTTCTCCTCTTTGCTTCTTCTATCTTCTTCACCAAAAAGCCCCTGTATGGTATCAAAAAACTTTGAAGACCTGTATGTCAAGAAAATTGTTCTATTAGCCCACGCATTATATTCTTACAATTGACAATTCTGGCAATTCTAGCAGCAAGTGAAGAGTTTTAGTATCCCTCGAATAAGTATCGATTTTGATGAATTATCTGCTATGACAATTCTGCCCATAAATATTGAATGGTTATAGATCTAGAAAACAGAACATGGACTTGCCCATGTTCAATCTATGCAGCAAGATACGTCATCTGGAACTCAACATGGGAGAGTGCACGAGGCACCTCAAATTGAGGGTGGACAGATCAGGCACCTACCCAATATGTACAGGTTCTGATACGTTGCTCCCATCGGTGAGATTTTTGCAGTCTCAGGTATCTTTTGCAGGCATTTGAGGAAATGATGATCCGCATCGAGTAACTGTGCTTGATCATATGCGTCATAGCTGTTTGCAAATACATGTTATAACAAGGGATGCGATCGCTTTACCAATAGAACCAACAAAATATATATTTTTTAAAATTAAAAAACAACTGCACAATATGCAGTAAACACGGAGATAGGAGTAGTGGAACCAGGGTTACTATCTCATTCACTTCACTGGAACAAATGAGTGTCTATTATCGTCCACCTAGTCTCCAAAAAAACACCTCGATCATAAAGGATACAAATGACCCAACAGATTCTACGCATCAGCATGAATAACTAGAACAAGACGAAACCTTTTTGGCACCTCTAGTGTAAATGCAATGTCTTCCACACAGAGTAGGAAAGATTGTGATGATCAGTACCCCATATCATGCCGGTAGCAGCAGTAATCCACCCAATCTGTAGGGGGTTTGTCCCAGTGAAGTGAGCCAGATTCGCGGCCACTCGAATAATTTGGTCCGCAGTAGTTGCCGTACCTAGGGAAAAATCGAGAGAACAAGTTTCGTGCGCCTGTGTGCCAAGAAACTGTGGCTGTGTAAGGAACAAAAGTGGGAGTAGGGCAGCCACCTTGCTTACTTGTCTGCACATGATTGCCTACGGCTTCTGCATCTGACAATAAAATGCCGTTTGATAAGACTTGATTTGTTCGGCCATTCTTCCTAAATAAAAGGCTTTCTGCGGCATTCAGAAACTTCGAGCCATCCAGCTTCATGACTGCCTGATATTTTACTATTTCCTACTTTTGAATGCCTTGCATACGCAAGAACTGCTTGAACCTGTTGAAACCCACCAACATCCGTCTGTTACAAGGTAAACACCCTTTGGGCACGGCAGAAATGTTTTCCGAAAGATGAGAGGGAAAACACCACATGGAGGAGCAGAAAATGAATGAGAAACCCAAATGAGGAATAAAGCCAGTGTGCTATTTTATGGAGTGCTTTGATGACCGACAGGGGGCAATAGATGTACCACAAAGGACCGAGCATCCATAGGGCACAAAATTCAGCAAGGCTTTTAATTAAAGAAAGGTATAGCATCTCAATTTTTTAGAACAAGAAATGAGACTCGAAATTTTCACTTGAGTTCTGTTACATTTTCCCATCGGTGTAAAAAATGCAATCTCCGCGCATGGAAGACTTCCATGCGCAAAAGTTCTTAAAATAAACTAAAATCTCACCACCACAGAAACTCGCAGGTAAATATGGTACTAGGAGGGATCTATCTAGCACATGAAGTGCTTCGATTAACTGCGCCTCCTCTTCTTTTCATTTCCTCCAAATTATTAAGAAACACGGAATTTAGGCATAGCAAACTTCGAGATACAGAAGTTTGTCTCTCAAGTACTTGCATGTTGTCAAAGTTCTACCCGCAATTTAAAATTTGTTCACTTACGACCTATCAGTAATTAAAAGACGGGGTCCGATTACACTATGCAAACTTTGAATACTCTATGAATACTTAACGTCACAGTGTGACAAGACCACGCACAATCCTAATTCGGAAGAGCGAGAATCAAAAGATTGAAAAACTAATCTACATCCTAACTAAGACTCTCATTAAGTGCACCAACACAAACCTCCGCCATTGATAGCCATAATCAAGGTGCAGTGCTACAATGCAAGTCCAAAATGCTTACAACTGCACTCAAACACAAACAACAATGAAATAAATAAACAAATAAAAACACGCACACGCACGATGCGCAATAGTTTAGCATTCACGCCTCACACCTCTACCCGAAAAGCCGAATTCAACTCAAGATCCGCCACAGCTGAAGAGGCTGGAGCAAGCACAGATCCAACTACCCGTCCCACGAGCAGGTCGACTGGGAAGCTCGAAGCTATGGAGCAGAACTCAGTCTCAGCACGCCAACTCGGGCCCAATTCAAACACGTTGGAACCTCACGAGACACAGAACGCGACAAAAATTGACAACCATGGCGGAGAGCAGCGGCGAGAAACGCAGCACGACAAGTGGCGCACAGGCACCAGGAATTATGACCACCACTGTCGATGGCACAATTAAAGTATAATACCGTCGCTCCAGCCTCGTGAACGCCGACGACGCAGACGAAGCGGTGGTGGTGGTTGTGAAGCTCCACGGCTACCGCAGCCCATTCTGCGGCTTCGATCACCGTGGCTTTTGCTCCCCTTTCCCCGCCGCGGGGGCTTCTCCCTCGGCCTCCACCCCGGCGGCTTCGAACATCACCGTGCCCATCCTAGTATGTTGTGGTATTAACGTGGGTTCTAATTCGTAGAATGTGTGTATTTATTGGTTGACTAGTTTTTGATACTCGTTTGACCCAAGTAATGTAAGGACACAGTTTTGGTACTTTAACTATGAGTGTGTAGCTTTATCCAATGAAGACCAAGAAGTATGAATGAGAAATATAATATAATGGAGTATAATGATCAAGTGGTTCCTACTATAGTACCAGAAATCTGGAAATCGTCTGCAAAATAATATCCCAGAGAAAAAATTATGATAAACAAAGCTTGTGCAATGTGAATAACAATTACATTCTTTTAGAATATAAACTTGTGTAGTGTATTCAAAATCATCATTTCAAAAATATATCAATGGGACATGATGAGGCTCTAAGGTTTTGTCTCATGTATATATGGAGTGTGGATGTGAGTATGTGTAATTACACATGGTATCCTAGGATGGTCATTTCTTCACATTTAATCACGACAATGGAAGTAAATTATTATTTTTTTATACTTGATTAACATTCCAATAAGCAATTGAGGTTGCTGAGTTTTAGAAAGAGCTAATATTAGGATTTTAAGTAATTAGGACTAATAACAAGAAACAAAGAGCTAGAGTCCTTGCAAGTAGCAATTTGAAAGTAGGGTGTAAGTGATAAAGGCACATCATTAAGTAGGACTAAGTAATCTGTGGAGCAGACAAAGGAGTGGATGGCATTACAATTACCACACTAATCAAGGAGAAAGATGGAGTTGTATGCCACTATTGTCAAGGCATAGGTGGCCGACACACTTATCACCTTAACAAACTCAAAGATACGATGCCAAGTAATAAAGGCCTGCTTTGATGACCATGTAAAATCTAAGCTTATAGCTACAGTGACTAACTTAGGCATGTATGTGGAAATCCATCCTATTAAATTTGTGTCAGGTAAAAAACTCTCAAATGACTTATATTGGAGTTGCATGAGGTTCTTTTTGAACAAAAAAATAATCAAAATTTGATTCAATGAAGCCAAATTGAAGCTCAAGCTAGAACATCCCTCAAGATGTGTAATAATGACATACCTTATAGAGGGGAGAAAATCCAAAAGATCATGCAAGTATGATTAATCTCATTCAAAATCAAGTTAAATGAAGAATTATGGCTATGAAGAATTTTTTGATATGGATTTTTTAAAATTATTATTAAAGATGAGATTGCCATACAAAAAATCCTTATGTAGATGCATTATTTATCAAAATAGGATATTTGCATCTTAGACCCTTGGATTTCAAGATTCAACCTAGACAAATTAGTTGGTATGAAGATGCCAACTTAGATTATCTTGAAAGCTATCTCGGATGAATTTTTGAGTAATTCTTAAGATATTACAACCTATTTAGGCTAGGTATTGGGTGGTGACTATCAAAATAGAAACAATACAAATCAAAGCTTTTGTGTGGCAGTTATGATGGAAATAGCTTATAATCTCATTGTTAGAGTAAAAAACATTTATTACAAAATTTATTCATAATATGTAAATAAATTATAAAAACTCACTTATATAATGTAAGTATTATTTTGCTTCATTATACTTTATTCAAGAGTGTCTAATATTACTTAAAAATCAAAGAATAAAAATGGAGGCCTAGACAAGCAATCTACCTCTTTTGTAAGTATATGTGCCTTTGAAGGACAATTCTGTTCTTGAACCACAAAATGAACAAGAGTTAAAGAAGACATTCACCTAACCTCTCCAATAAATCAACATCTAAATATATACAATCTGATAACATATTTTTATATAAATTTTGGGAAGATAGATAATGAATGAGAGATAGACTATAATCATTCAAAAAGAATTACAATAACTGGATCAATATTAGTGATTCTTAACAAAAAGGCTTAACTACAACACAATAGATCATAAAGAAAATAGATTGTAGATAGGTATTTTTGCCAAACACAAGAAAATTTACAAAAGACAAAAAATTTATAACTATGAAGAATATCTAGATAAGTTGTAAGGAACTAAGACTACTACTATTGATGCAATAAAATAGCCTTTAAATAAAAAATCAGCTGGCTACAGATGGTGACATAACTTATACACAAGATAGAAGAATAACTATGATGGATAGAATAATTGGCAATGAAAGAAATATATAAGACCATCACAACCTACACATCTCTTACATTATACCATTGGTTCTCCTTGCCACAAGGCCTAGAAATACCTTGTTAATTAATTATCATACACTGCCCTTCCTACACTCAAAGATTATAGTGATAAATCTCTCTAATTTTTTTTTTCATAGGTGGCATTCTATGCATGTCTAATAGATGGTATGGAATAAGTAGTAGGATCCTTGTAAATTAGAATTGTAGAAAGAAGAAATTCTAGAGACTCGTCCATACATATGTGCAACAATGGCCAATTAGAGCAACCATTTCCTTCAAAAAGAATTAACAATTGACCTCACATAGATCTCAACAGGCAAAATTCCTCACAAATAATATTTGAACTGGTTTTAAGCATGGTCATCCTTGAAACCTTTGCAATCTTAGCTAATAATAAGTGTAATAAGATTGCACTTCTCTCATTACACTTATTTTATATCTTTGATGAATGCCTGAGAGGTCAAGGTATACAAAACAAGATTTCTATAGCAACCTTACTATCAAAACTATCAACACAAACTATGATCTGCAAAAATCAACTCATAAGTACGTCTAACAATCAATTGGCATAATGGCTTCATTGACACCAAGAGATGCACTACTTCTCAATTAATATTTCATCTATGATATCATGCTAGAAAGTAGCATAGTATATAAAAATAATATTAAATGTTATGAAAATTTGGATTGTAATAAAAATAAGAATAAAAAATAAAAAATACTTATTTAATTTATTTAAGTTTATAATTTAAGTTTTATAATTAAAGATAGAAATTATAGGATTTATTAATAAAGTTTTTAGAAGGTCTTTGGTGCTAAGGATATAATATTTTGACTTCTAGGCCATCCTATGTAGACAAATAAGATAAGTTGATGGAAGACTTCATTTCCATTGATTGAAGGTTATGTCTAATGGACTTCAAGATGTTGTCTGAGTCCATATTGGAATTTGAAGCTACTTCAGGGTGGTCATTCAAAGTTTAGAGGTTGAGATTTGTTAGCTTGTGTAGAGAGCTATAATTTTTGTGTAAAAATCAAGGAGTTTGAAATTTTTATGATAGAGAAATGGATAATTGAAGTTAAGATCTTGAATTTGTACCTATTGCCATCTTTTTTGAGTACAAGGTGATTTAGAAGAGCTTTTGGAGTTTAAAAAGTGAGGTTCAAAATCTGACTTAAGAAGCTAAATTTTAAGTAAAAAAGTTAATAAATTTTAAAATTAAAAAAAAAGAAGAAAGAGCTATTGGAAGTGAGTGCTTTAAAACTAAAGTTTGTAAGTGAGTTCTTTTCATGGAGGTTTCAATTTGGGCAATATTTTGAATTTTTGGACAAAATTTTAGCTCAAAATTTCTATAAGTATAAATGATTATGTTAAAAAGCTGTATATAATTTTTTTATAATATTTGAATGTTGTATTTTTAAAATATGGTAGATTTAGTGCACAATGTTATATTTTAATACAACTATATGGTGAAAATATAATCACAAAATTAAAATTTTAATTAATATCTAATTATCTTGATTTAATAATAATTTAAGATATTTAAATTTGACTTTTATAAAAGCCTCTTAATTTATTTTCTTGTCTTAATAGCTAATAGATTAAAGGTTGATTAATAATTTTAACTTTTAGATTGTAAAAATTCTTTTGTTGCCTTAGAATGGCCATATATTGATAAAAATAGGATAAATAATTAGTATGGTTGATATTAAAATTAAATTGAAGGTAGAATTGGGTTAAAAAATCCCTAGAATAAGTTGGATTGATATCCGAGGGTTGACCATTTGTGGGACATGGTCAAAATCAAACCTCTAGCAATTAAAATGGATGTCTAGGACGAAATATGGAAGCATTTGGAGATTGGCAATTGGCATTGAAGAGCTAGCTTTAAGCTTTTTTTAATAAAATAAGGCTTATTTTTATAGAATTTGGGATAATTTTGAAATTATTATTTAAAATTAGGTTTTGTATTGGCGACTTTGAATTTATGCAATACAATTAAGGCTAACACTTTGATCTAGTTCATGCAATAAGTATCACATCTATAGTTCAAAATTTGATAATGCTTGGTTGATTGAATGTACTAAGTGTGCATAATTTTTTATATTAATCTAATAATGTAATTGAAAGATATCTGATTTTTGATACAAGAAGATATCAAAAGTTGGCAGTTTGAAATTGAGTAGGATTTTTATGATATCTAAAGATCTACTAATTAGAAAAAGGTGAAATTTGGCATGATATTAGAAGACTTGAAGATTAAGCTATACACAAATTTTGAGCTAAAATTAATTGTTGAAAAAGAAGAAATTGCTATTAGGTCATCTATATCAACTTTTGAGTTGGTAGCTAAGTGATATTAGTACAGTGTTTTGGATGTTTTCTCACAATCTATAAGTTGGATTGGACTAAAATTTTTTTAACATATAAAAGATTTATAGTAGGATTTATATGTAATTTTTTTATAAAAAGATGATGATAAAATTAAAAATTAAAGCTTGTTGAAGATTATTGACTAGGATTGCATAATTATGAAAGTAATAAGGCAATTGGAATTTGTATGTCATTGAGATTATTAAAAAGAATATTTTTGAGTACTTTATATTGGCTTTAAATAATTTTGAATTAAAATTTGAATTATACTCTTCTTATATGGGT